CCGCGTGAATAAATAGGGCGGAGAGTAATAAACACTCCTTCGTTGGCCTCGGTACACAGGTATGCCATGGAAGCCTGCGAGCGCTGTGCCCGCCAACATTGGAACCTTGAGCCAAAATGGTTACGAAAGAGGAGGAGGAGGAGGAGGAGGAGGAGGAGGAGGAGGAGGAGGAGGAGAGAGGAGGACGGTTCGCCTAAGCCCTCCGGAGAGACCTTCCAGTCGAGTCTGGGGAGGACGCCTGGGCCCTGACGGCCCTGACCATCCCGCCCGCCCTCTCGCTGCCCCCACAGGAAGGCGGGGGGGCCAGTGGCCCGCCCGAGGGCCGCGGCCTCGTCCTCCGACAGCGGCGTGCGGCCGAGGGACACCGACTCGCGGTAGCGGTGCAGCGGGTTGCAGCGCGGGGAGCAGCTGAAGACGCCGGATCCTCGGACCGGCTCGCATCGAATCTCGGGGCTTCCCAAGCGGGGGTTTAGCTCAACGGGGGCCTCGGTTTTTTCACGTGCCCCCGCTTACGGTGCCCCCGTCTACGGCGCCTAGGGCCCTCTAAACGGGGGCATCGCCAAACGTGGAAATCGGCGTTCCCCGTGCTCCCGTTTGCTGTACCCCCGTCTCTGGCGCCCTGAGAATGCAGCTCTGGTAGCAGAATGATCTCAGGCGTCTGGGTACTTTAGACTGGCGCTTCTGAGCATTTCCCGTCGGCTGGTGTACATCTGAGCCTCGTAGCTCGGCTACAGCTCGACTTAAATCGACAAAACCAGCATCACCTCTCAAACGAATTGAAGAAAGCATACAATTTTCGGGTCGCCCAGTTCTGATCTGAGGCGTCGGAAGCGCGGCCCCCGCCGGGGGGAAGCGGCCCGCCTCGCATATCCGAGCGCAGGCGGCCCTGTATGGCCGTCGCCGCTGCGAGAGGTCCTGGGCGGGCCGTGCCGGTTCCCGTCGCCACGGCGGGGCACAACTCCAACAAGGGCTCCCAACTCCGCGCTGCGCGCTGCGCGAACAACGTCGCGCTCTCGCGCCGCCCCCCAAGGGGAGAAGAGGAAGACGAGGAGGAGGGGGAGGAGGAATGAGGCCCGCGGAGCGCGAAGCGCGACCAACTTCGCGCCCTCGTGGGAGCCCTTGTCCAAGGACCGGCCAGGGTGGATCTCTGGAGGGATCCAGGAGTCGATCGTCGGCGGAGCCTGGTTTGAGGTCCGGCCTGTCCCCCTACAGGGGGATTTTGGACGACACAAGAAAAAAGACTGAAAAAATACGGTCCAAATGTTCAAAGATAGCCAAAGAAGAGTCCCCAGACTATTTTCTGACTGCTTCCGAACTTTCCCGCTGTAGAGGGACACGCCCGACTTAAGGCCAGGGTTCGAGGGATAAAACACACACTGTGGGAACAAAAACTCACGTGGGAAAAAAACACACGTCTGTGGAAAAAACACACACACACGTGGGAAAAAAAAACACGGTGGGAAAACAAAAACACTGCGGGAAAACACACACACACACAAACACACGTCTGTGGGGGAAAAAAACACGGTGGGAAAAAAACACACACACGTGTGTGTTGTGTTGAAACACGTGTTTTTTCCCCCACGTGTGTTTTTTCCCGCGTGTGTGTGTTGTGTGTGCGTGCGTGTGCGTGTGCGTGTGCGTGTGCGTGTGCGTGTGCGTGTGCGCGTGCGTGCGTGGGTGCGTGCGTGTGTGTGTGTGTGTGTGATTTTCCCACGGTGGCCGACCGTGGGCGGGGCCCGGTCGGCTGCCTCGGCCGCACCGTCGCCCGGCGGGGGCGCCCGCCGCCGGGCGAAGGTGCGCTCCCGCCCGCGCCGCCGACATATAAAAAAGAGACAGGCCTTCGAGGCGCGGCGCAGGCCGTGCAGCGAGGGCCGCCGCAGGCCGTGCGCTGGCGGTGGAGCTGCACGCGGCAAGCGCAGCAAGCGCACGCACGCACGCACGCACGCACGCACGCACGCACGCACGCACGCACGCACGCACGCACGCACACACACACACACACACATATATATATACACACACACGCACACACACACTTTTTATAGGGGGAAACAAACCTACCTCGCTTTTGACCACCCTCGCTTCCAAGAGGTACCAAGCGATGCCAAGCTACGGCCTGTGCTGGTCAGGCCGCTCGACGGGGAGGCGCGTGGTATGACTCGGCTTTGCCTGGATGCGAACGCGGGGTAGGTAATTCACGCTCTGAGTTAGCGCACGCACACACGCTTTTGACGTCGGCGGCTGGGCAGAGCAACTGCGCTGGCGGAAGGGCAATCACACCAGCGCGCGCACGCACAACAATACACACAAACTAATACTGGACTGGCACACGTCCTGAGGATCATCGGTCACGTCCTGGGGCAAACAAACCTACCTCGCTTTTGACCACCCTCGCTTCCAAGAAATACCAAGCGATGCCAAGCTACGGCCTGTGCTGGTCAGGCCGCTCGACGGGGAGGCGCGTGGTATGGCTTGGCTTTGCCTGGAAGCGAAAGCGGGGTAGGTAATTCACGCTCTGAGTAAGCGCACACACACACGCTTTTGACGTCGGCGGCCGGGCAGAGCAACTGCGCTGGCGAAAGGGCAATCACACCAACGCGCGTACACACAACAATACACACACAAACACATACTGGACTGGCACACGTCCTGAGGATCATCGATCACGTCCTGGGGCAAACAAACCTACCTCGCTTTTGACCACCCTCGCTTCCAAGAAGTACCAAGCGATGCCAAACTACGGCCTGTGCTGGTCAGGCCGCTCGACGGGGAGGCGCGTGGTATGACTCGGCTTTGCCTGGAAGCGAAAGCGGGGTAGGTAATTCACGCTCTGAGTTAGCGCACGCACACACGCTTTTGTTGTCGGCGGCCGGGCAGAGCAACTGCGCTGGCGGAAGGGCAATCACATCAGCGCGCGCACGCGCACAACAACACACACACACATGCTGGACTGGCACACGTCCTGAGGATCATCGACAATAGGTGGGCCCAGATCGCCTGCGACCGAAAAGAAAACGGGAAATCTCGGTGGCGCCAAGTTTCGGTCGCGACCAGGGGATGCCAAATGTCGGCAACGAAGAAACGGCGCGTCGAGGTCCAAGCGGGTGTTTCGAAGACGTCGACGGCTCGCTCGTTGCCGGAATGCGCTGTCGAAGGCTGGATTTCGGTCGCGGCTCGTTTGTCCACAGCGTCACCGATAGTGTTCTGTAACGGATGATGCTGGGACGGTCTCTTCTTCATCCCAGCTTCGCAGCTGCTGTGAATGAACGAGAGAGGAGAAGAGGAGGGACCAGAGAATGATAAGGGATGGAGGGAAGAAGCAGGAGGGAGCAGGGGGAAGATGGGAGGGGGCGGGAGACGAAGGACGGTAAGGATTGGGTCGGCAGGAAGGGAAAGATGGAAATGGTATGGGGCTCCGATCGATGACTCGAGGCTCTCAGGGCTCCGATGACTCGGGTGGGAGAGTGAAAAAGGAAGGGGTGGAAGATGGGGAGGACAGCGAGGGGGTGAAGGAGGAAGACGACGACGACGAGGAGGAGGAGGAGGAACCAGGGTCCATGTAGAGAGAAGGACAGGATGATGCTGCTTCAAGCTGGGTGCGAAGAGGGACTCAGAGCGAAACGAGCAGCAGCAGGACGAGGAGCATTGGGACGGGAGAGGTCGGGAAGGGAAGGAGGAGGACGAGGAGGAGGAGGAGGACGAGGAGGAGGATGACGACAAGGAGGAGGAGGAGGAGGAGGAGGAGGGGGAGGAGGAGGGAGGAGGAGGAGGAGGAGGAGGAGGAGGACGGGGAAGGGAAGGAGGAGGACGAGGAGGAGGACGAGGAGGAGGATGACGACAAGGAGGAGGAGGAGGAGGAGGAGGAGGAGGAGGAGGAGGAGGACCAGTGTAAACTCTTGACCTCATCCACGATGTTGCAACCAGTCCTCCCTCTCAATGCTCCTCACATGCTCCAATCATATAGCAGATACCTGCACTGCGGAGAGAGCCCCGTTGGAAGACAACTGGCTGAACACCTCCCACCGCGCCAAAACATCATCCCTGGGACTTGCACGCCGCGAAGCAACGCTGCTGTTGCGACCTGACGAGCTTAAGCCGTGCTGGGGCACCATTTCTGGGACGTCAACACCTCGAGTCAACGTGACCGTCGCGCCCTGGCAACCATTACTTGGGACACATAAGAACCCTTGAAACCGTGGTAAACTGTTAAGCCAGATGTGCGCGGCGCTGGACCGAGACCCACATGGAGACCCACGCTTTGAAGAGGAGCCGCCCTCTCTCCGAAGGAGGCCTTGCAGGCTGTTCAGGACGAGCGCGCGCGTCGCTAAAAGGCGGGATCCACAGTTTGAAAACGACCCGTCCTCCAGCCGCGAAGCTGACGCAAGCTTTTGACACGAGTGCGCACGGCGCGGATGCCAGAACCGCATGTTTTAAAACGGCCCGCCCTCCATCCGTGAGGCTGCTGCAGTGCTCAAGCTTCAGGGCCACAAGCGGTTGGCACATCACGAGCGAAACGTCTGGCCCGTCCTACCGGCCCGTCTCGGAGTGCGACGGGCAGGAGTCATTCATAAGGAAAAGGGACCAAGGAGGATGAGGAGGCCCGAATGATCAGAGCTCGTCAGTAGCCCGAGACCAGCCTGAGGAGAAGGGGAGGAGCGGGGAGGAGGCGGAGGGAGGAAGGAGGATGAGAAGGGTAGGGGTAGGACGAAAGAAAATGAGAGAGCGGGAGGAGGAAGGCAGGGGGAGAGGAGGATCAGGACTCTCCTCACGCGTCGTCTTTGGAGCTTCGGCCGAGAGGAAAAGACGGAAGGCCATACCGAGATGTGCAGACCGAGCCCGGAATCTGTGACAAGCAGGCGTGTCTGCCCGCCGAGCGCGGCTGGCCAAAGAGAGAAGGCTGCGACGGCGAAGCCGTCGAAGGTACTGAAGGCGCGCCCTCCGAGAGCTGTTGAGGGGCACACGAGTTCTACGATTCCGAGCGACGCCCTGCAGCCGGCTCAGCTGCCGACCAGGACGGTCTCCAGCTCGGAGGTGGACAGGTCGAGCCGGCGGATGCTGTTGTCCGCGCAGCTGATCAGCAAGTGGCACGGGTGCATGAAGTGCACGTCGAAGGGGGAGTCCAGACTCTGGTCCTTGATGCTCTTCCCATCGCGGCTGCCTTTCCGACCGCTGCCGCAAACGGTGGTCATAAATCCAGTGGAAAGGTCGATGCGCCTTATGCGGTGGTTCCCCGAGTCCGCGACGTATATGTAGTGAGTGTTGGGGTCCTCTTCCTCTTCTTTTCCTCCTGTTCCTTCCTCTGACCTGTGCAAACCTCCTGAGACCTTAACATCCCTGCGACGATCGCGTAAAACACATGGATGCCTTAAGGATCTCCCCTCGACGCGGAAAGCTTCCCAGCGCCTCCGAAAGTATCCCACCTGTTCCTGTTCCTGCTTCCGCTCCTCCTTATCACCAACGCAACCATAACCATCATCATCGCCACAGCCTTTTTTTCATCAGGCATACCACTGTCGCTCTTACCATCGTCATCGCCACCACCACCATCATCATCAGCATCAGCATCTTCATCATCATCAGCAGTATCACCATCATAACCATCAGCATGGCCATCAGCATCATCATTGTCGTCGAGGTCACCATGGTCATCATCACAATCATTATCGTAACAAGCACCACGTTCACCATCCATCATCATCGTCATCACCATCAGCACCATCATGGTAATCATCGTCAGCATCACCAACACCATAATCCGTATCATCATCATCATTATCATCATCACCATCACCACCACCACCATCATCATCATCATCAGCATCACCATCATCATCAACATCATCATCAGTCGCATCTGTGTCGTCATCATCAGCATCAACACCAGAATTAACATCAGCATCGTCACCATTACCGACATCACTATCATCATCCTCGACATCATCACCAGCATCACCATGCTCATCTGCATCATCATCGCCATCGTATCACCATCAGGATCATCATAAGCAACATCATCATCAGCATCATAAGCATCAACATCAACAACATCATTCACGCCGTCACCATCAGCATCGTCATCGCGGTCAACATCATCACCATCATCGTGGGTCCCTGGACCTGTGCATGGCATGTTGGAGGAGGCAGTGAGGGCTTCAGCTCCTCTGTCGTCTCCTCCTCCTCCTCCTCCTTCTCCTCCTTCTCCTCCTACTTCCTTCTTTCTCCTTCCTCCTGCATCCGTCTTCCTTCCTCCTTCGTCCTCCTTCTTCCTCCACCCTCCCTCCCTCCCTCTCTCCCTTCCCTCATTCCTATCTCTCCTCACTCCCTCTTCCGTGTCCTCCCCGTCCTCCTGCCTGGCTCCCTCCCTCCCTCCCTCCATCACGTTTCCTCTCTCCCCGCCTCCTCCCTATCAGTTTTCACTCCTCTTCATGATTCGTCTTACACTTCTCTCCTCCTACTCCTTCTCCTCCTCCTCCTCCTCCTTCTCCTCCTCCTCCTCCTCCGCCTCCTACTCCTCCTCCTCGTTCTCCTTCTCCTCCCAGTCCTCCTCGTTCTGCCCCCCTCCCTCCCTCCCTACCTCCCTGCCTCCCCCCCTCCTCCCTCCCCTCCCTCCTCCCTCCCCTCCCTCCGCCTCCTCCCTCCCGCCTCCTTCGCCTCCGCCCCGTCCAGCGCGATGGACGAGGGCTTGTTCATCCGGCACACGTCGAGCGGGCCGTCCAGGTGACCAGCCTGGCGTCCGAGGCCACGGCTTTTAGACCGCAGGAGGGAAAAAGCTCGCTAGGAGGGAGGAGGGAGGGAGGGAGGGAGGGAGGGAGCAGAAGCAGGCGGGAGGAGCCCCCCCTTCCCGGAGACCCTGGCGCCACAACGTCTTCACGACGGTCGACGTCGCCGCGCTTCGCGGCCGGGGACCCTCACGGATCGATATCATGCTCGAAGAGTGCGCAGAAGGATGGGGTCCAGGGCTCCAGGCACGATCTGGTACGATGTTACATGTTTTCGTGACGTCGGATCTCAGGGTTACCCACATCATCATAATCATCATCCTCATCATCATCATCATCATCATCATCATCATCATCATCATCATCATCATCATCATCATCATCATCATCATCATCATCATCATCATCATCATCATCATCATCATCATCATCATCATCATCATCATCATCATCATCATCATCATCATCATCATCATCATCATCATCATCATCATCATCACCGTCATCATCATCATCATCATCATCATCATCATCATCATCATCATCATCATCATCATCATCGTCATCATCATCAGCAGCATCATCAGCATCCCCATCATCAGCATCATCAGCATCATCAGCATCATCATCAGCATCATCAGCAGCATCATCAACTTCAACATCACCAGTGACAGCATCATCATCAGCAGCAACATCATCTTCATCATCATCACAGTCACCATCATTTGCAGCATCTTCATCATCACCATCATCATCATTCGCATCATCACCCTAATCATCCTCACCATCATCATCATCAACATCAACATCAGCATCATCAGCACCATCAACAGAACCAGCAGCAACATCAGCATCAGCATCAGCATCAGCACCAGTATCGTAATCATAGTCAGCATCATCATTTTCAGCAACATCACCATCGTCTACGCATGTATATTCTTCGTCGTCACACCGTATCATCAGCATCACCATCACCATCATAATCACCATCATCGTCGTCATCAGCATCAGCATCAGCATCAGCATCAGCATAAGCAGCATCAACATCAGCATCAGTATCATCAGCATCAGCATCACCATCATCATAATAACCATCGCCATCGTCAGCATCACCAGTAGCATCACAATCAGTATCAGCATTATCATCATAAGTATTACCACCATCATAAGCATAATCATCATCATAATCAGCAACACCATCATTACCATCATCACAGTGGCCACCATCAACATGAACATCAACATCAACATCACCATCAACATTATAACCGCCACCACCACAACCGTCATCATCATCATCATCATCAGCAGCAGCAGCAGCAGCATCATCATCATCATCATCACCATCACCATCATCAACATCATCATCTTCGGGATTTCCACACACACACACCTCCCCTCATTCTCTCGTCAAGTCCACGTACCAGCACTGCTGCGGGGGTGCGTTCGGCTGCTGCGACCCGCCCGCCCGCGCGCGGGCGAGCGGGCAAGAATCGGTCCAGGAATTGAGAACGGGCTGGGAGGACCCCGGGAGGGGTCCGCGGGATGGGCACCCAGAAGCGCTTGGGACCACAACCTGCCACCAGCGCAAGTACACATAGAAGCACGCAGTCAAGCAGGATGGATACAACTCTGGCCCGTCAGCTCGACATTGAGGTCGGTAACGTTAGCTCAGCGTATCGCGGAGGCAGCCACGGCGACACACTGCTCTGCTCTGTGTGACAGCGTATCGCCGGAGGCAGCGTGGCGCTCTGCTTCGCGGCACGGGAGGCTTCGAAAGGCTCGTGACGTTGCCGCTTGGGGCTGGGACATGAAACATCAGCGTGTTGCGCCGCAGCGCGGTGGGCTAGAACTGGCGGCACGACACGCGAAGCAAGCGCTCCTGCCCGTCACTCTGCCCTGCGATCTGACGCCACGAACAAAATGCAACGTCGTGCAACAGACTCGCCCTGAGGCCCTGGACCCCACCGTTCTGCGGCGTTTCTCGAGCAGGGTCGCTCCATCGGTCCTGGGGGCCGAAACAATTGAGGGGGCCCAAGGACACACAAACAAATACACACAAATAAAATGGTTCCCTATATGTTCCTGTATGTTCTGGGTTGTTGTCTCCCCGACCAATTCCAATAGTTTCCCATATCTTCTTGGAGATCGACGATGAATTGTGTCTGTGTGCTGTTTCCCCTCCCTGAGCAATGAACAACCGCCCGTTGCTCGGCAGCGCGCCCGGGCGGGAAGCGAGAGGGCGCAGGCCCTCTCAGAAAGGCGGCGGGGCTTTCTCTGCGTCTTGTGGGAAGGCTTAGGAAACTGCTCAGGAGGAGGAGGAGGAGGAGGAGGAGGAGGAGGAGGAGGAGGAGGAGGGAGGAGGGAGGAGGAGGAGGAGGAGGAGGGAGGAGGAGGGAGGGAGGAGGAGGAGGAGGAGGAGGGAGGAGGAGGAGGAGGAGGAGGAGGAGGAGGAGGAGGAGGGTGCAGGCCATCTCAGAAGGCGGCGGGGCTTTCTCTGTGTCTTCTGGGAAGGCTTAGGACACTGCTCAGCAGGCCCGAGGCCGCCCCCGAGCCCTCTGACAGAGGCACGCCCCCTCTCGCTTCCCCCCCGGCCTCGCCGCCGAGCAGCGACGCCATCCCGACCGCGCTGGCCATCTACTTTTTTTTTACAGCCGCAGGCGGAAGCGCCAGCGGCGGGCAGTCGCGGGCGGGCTGCGGCCGCGACTAGCGGCGGGGTACGCTGGCCATCTACGCGACGCGAGTGCTTTCCGGGCGTGCGTCGTGGGCCGTGGCCCCCGTCCGCGCAGGGACCTGCGCGCCGCCCAACCGCCGATGTCGCGCGCGAGCATCGGATCACTGCGGGCACAACTGCGAGGAGCCCCAGGCGAGGCCCCAGGAGGCCCAACACGAGCCCCAAGAGGCTCCCGAGGGGCCCCAAAGGCACCCCAAAACTGTCTCCAGGAGACTTCCGAGAGGCATCCCAAGAGTTCCCGACAGGCATCCAAGAGTCCTCTAGGCCTACAACCTAGACGTGGTGGCGGGATGGGCCGAAGGCCACTAGATCTGCCACCGTGCCTCTGCGCACGGAGTGGGCGTGTCCTCAAGTCCTTTGCCTACCCTTTTAAGCCTCAATCGTCACTCCTGAGGAGTCTTTAATAGACCCGGACCCCAAGTTCCGAATTCTCTTTAGGCTTGTCGCATGCCCCATGGGCTTCGGGAAGTGGTGGCGCGTAAATTTGTTGGGCCCAGGAAGGCCCCAAGACGGGCTAAGTGGGCCCCCCAAGGCCCCCGAAACTGTCCAAGAGGGGGGCCCCGAGTCGCCGAACGATCGCTCTAAGACGCTGAAGATGGCCCCCAGACGGCCCGAGAGGCCTCCAAGAGGCCCCAACAGGCCTTCAAGGAGGCCTCCCAAGAGGGCCCCAAGATGCCAAGAACACTGCTAAGACTTACGTGCCCCAAGGTTCTTGAGAGATTTTGGCGTTCTCGCTGTATCGGACTCCCGAGTCGGGAATCCCGACGCTTCCAGACGGCCCTAGAGGCCCCAAAGACACCCCCAAGAGGGACCCAAGACGGCCTCCAAGAGTGAAGTAGCCCAAGGACACACAAATAAATACACACAAATCAAATAATTCCAAATATTTTCCCGTATTGTCGGTGTGTTTGTCTTCCCCCCCACTTCCCATATTTTCCCATAATTTCCCATATTTTCTGGGGACTCGACGATTAATTGTGTCTGTGTGCTTCTTTCCCTCCTGAAAGAGAGAAACAGAAAGGCCCGAGAAGGACCCAAGACGGCCCAAGAGGCGCCCGAAACGGCCCGAGAGGGAGCACGAGCCGAAGATCCGAGCCTTCCGCCCCAAGAGGCCCCCGAGGAGGCGCCCAGGAGGCTCCAGGAGCCCCAAAGAAGGCCCCCCAGATGCCCCAAGAGGCGCCCAAGAGGCCCAAGAGAGGCCCCAAGAGGCCCCAAGTCGGTCCCCAAGAAGCGTCCAGACTGCCTCGAAGGGGCCCCCGAAAGGCATCCTATGAGATCCCAGCGAACATCCAATAGGCTTCATACCCACAACCCAGGCGCGGTGGCGGGATGGGCCCAAGGCCATGAGATACACACCATGAGCTCGAGACGATGGAGGGTCGGCGACAAGCAGGCAGTGCCCGGGATCCCTGGAGAGGCGGGCCGCCCATGACGGCCCTCCGCGGAGACGCCGTCGCGGAAGCCGGGCCTGCCAGGCCGGCGGCCCGATCGGAAGATGCCGCCGGCTCTGGCCCTGGTCGTGTCCTGCATCCTCCTCGGCCACCTCCTCGTCCTCCTCCTCCTCCTCCTGTTCCTCCTCCTCCTGCTCGTCCTCGTCCTCCTCCCGACCGTGGGAGCGGACCAAAATGGAGCCGCAATCCTGGGAGACTTTGGAGCAGTATGTTGAACGACGCCGTCGCCCTTCTCCTCTTCCGCCTCTTCCTCCTCCTCCTCTTCTTCTCCTCCTCCTCCCTTTCTCTCCTCCTCCTCATCCTGCCCTTCCTTCTGGTTCAACTTTCTCCCCATCCCCTGTCAGTCCTCGTCCTTCTCCCCTTCCCTCCTCCTCGTCATCTTGGCGTCTGGCCCTTTGCGAAGGGCGAAACAGCCTTGCCACAGCCGGCGATCTTGTCCTTGCTGTGCTTGGCGTGGTTCACGACGAAGATCTGGTTGCTGTCGCTGTCGGCCATGATCACACGGTCGAGGTCCGCAGCGACTGCTCGAAACCGTCCGTGGTCCTGAGGGGGAGCGTGCCCTTGTGAGGCCTTCAGTGGGTGTGCGGCGAAATCGCTATGATGAATCAAATGTTTGCCAGCGTGGACCCCGAACAGTGGGTGACAGGCGCTCGAAGTGCACCCGCTGTGGTGCACTCCATGCGCAGCTCAGTCTGAGCCATGAGCCCATGGGGTGCAAGGCGCAAGATGTGCGGCGCAGCGTGTGTGATGCCCCCCCCGTGGTGCAGATCTACGCGGTGCACCCTGCCGGGGCGCCGGGACGAGCTTGAAAGCGGCCGTCCGAGGAAGCCTGGACAAGCCTTGCAGCCACACCTTGCGCGAACGCTGGGCCAGCCTCGCGCGCACGGCCCCCTGAAGCTGCAGGTGAAGGGGCCCTGGGGCACACAAAGAAATACACACACACGCAAATCATAGGATTCCCCACATCTTCACATGACTTCTTGGTTTTTGCCTTCCCCCCCACTTCCCATAGTTTCCCACATTTTCGGGGGAGTCGACGATTGCTTGTGTCTGTGTGTCTTGTCCCCTGCAGCTGCAGGGGGAACTCCTGGCGCCAGGGGGTCCGCTCGCCGAGGGCCGTTGGGGAGGCGCCGGGGCGAGGGCTGCCGCGGAGGCGTCCCGGCTGCGGGCGCGGCCGCAGGGGGTCGCAGCTGAAGGCCCAGAGTGCCCCGCCGGGATGCCAGAAGCGCGCCTGCGTGCGCAGAGCAAGGGGGAGGGGGAGGAGGAGGAAGGAGGACGAGGCAGGACAAGATAGGACAAGGACGAGAGAGGAGGGATCCTTTTGCCCGGGCGGCCGCAGGACGCCATCTTCTGGCCCGCGACGCGGCCCCCTGGCCCCCCTCGGGACCAGGGCCGTGCGCGGGGGCGAGGTTGTGGGCGGGCGGGCAACTCCGCTCACGCAGCGTATGGATACGGAGCTCAACACGTAGACCGAAACGTGGGTCTGAAGCGATGCGTCCGCCAAAGCGTGGGCCAATACGTGGAGCCAACACGCAAGGTATCGACACGGACGTCTTGAACACGGGACGTGTTGCGTATCAAAACGGGCGTATCGAGGCAGCTAAGCGGAAGCGAGCTCCATCGTAAGGCCCGCCCTCCTGGAGGCCAGAACCCCCCCCCTCCCCCTCCCAACACCTCTCGGGGCTGCACTGTGCAGCCTTTCCTTTGCTTGCCCTCCTCGCTCCGCGCCTTCCCCGTCAGCTTCCTCTTGTGCCACCGTGCCTCCTCCGCCTTGTCACCTTCCTCATCCTCCTGCTCCTCTTCCTCCTCCCCCCCCCTCCTCGTCCTTCTCACCCTTGCCATCGCTCAACCCTCCTCCCGCGCTCCTTTTTCCCGCAAACTCCTTCCTCCTTCCTCATCCCTCTCATCATCCTCATGCTTCTCCTCCTTGTCCTGCTCTCCCGCTCCTCTCCCTCCTCCTCCATCTTGCTGTCCTCCTCCTCCTCCTCATCCTCATCCTCCCCCTCGTCGTCGTCGTCATCACCATCACCATCACCATCACCATCACCATCACCATCACCATCATCATCATCATCATCATCATCATCATCATCATCATCATCATCAGCACCAGCATCATGATCATCATCATCACGATCATCAGCATCATCATCATCACCACCATCATCAGCATCATCAGCATCATCAGCATCATCATTATCAACATCCTTATCATCCTCATCCATATCATCATGCTCATACTCAATATCATGCTGCTCCTCATCTTCATCCTCCTGCTCCTCATGTTCCTCATCGCCACCATCAACATAATCAACATTATAGTCATCATGATCTGAATCATCGTCCTCAGCATCACCATCACCATAACCATCACCATCACAATCACCGTCACCATTACCATCACCATCATGACCATCATCATCATCATCATCATCATCATCATCATCATCATCATCTCCACCACCATCCCCATCACCATCACCATCGCCATCATTATCATCATCAGCGTCACCATCGTCGTCGTTGTCCTCATCATCGTCATCAGTATCATCATCATCATCATCATCATCATCATCATCATCAGCAGCAGCATCGTGACCATCAACTTCATCGTCATCACCGCATAATCATCCATGTGATCATCGTGATTCTCATCAAGACCCTCGCCAGCATCCCTATTACCATCTTGATCCCCGGATCATTCATAATCATTATCATCGTAAGCCGCAGCATCATCATCATCATCATCATGACCCTCATCATCATCATCATCATCATCATCATCATTATCAGCATCGTCATCATCATCAGTAGACTCGTCGTCATCATCATCATCGTCATCATCAGCATCGCCAGCACCACCATCACCATCAGTATCATCATATCAGCATCGTCATCACCATCGTCGTGATCATCATCATCATCATCATCTTCATCATCACCATCATCATCAACACCATCATCGCCATCATCGTCTTGGTAGTCATCGCCATCATCATCACAATCCTCAACATGATAGCCAACATCGTCGTCATCGTCATCGTCATCATTATCACGGTCACCTTCATCACCGTCATCGTCATCAGCATCGTCATCGTCATCGTCAACGTCTTCACCATCGTCATCACCACCACCGCCGTCGCCGTCAAAATTAAATCAGCGAAAGCACCGTCATCCCCATCGCCATCAGCATCATAATCACCAGCATCAACACCGTCGTCACCGACAACCATTACTGTGTTCTCCCGACTAATCGTGCTGCTCATCCTTATACTCCTCCGCGGCATCGTCATCGGCATCGCCATCAACCTCATCAGCATCACCAACATAGCCGTCATCGTCACCGTCGTCATCACATCATCAAGATCATCATCACCATCACCATCAGGATCCTTATCGCAAACATCGTCACCCTCATCACCTATCACCGTGTTATCCCCGCTCTTCATGTCATGTCCCTTCCCCCTCGGCCTGCTCAACCTCATGCATAAACCTAATCATCATCAACAACAACAACATCATCAACACCCTTCAGCATCATCACCATCATCATCAACATCGCCATCGTTATCGCCTTCATCATCACCACCAATATCACCCTCATTCCCAACCTCTCGGGTGCTCCTCCGCCACCCTCCACCTCCTCCTCCTCCTCCTCCTCCTCCTCCTCCCCCTCCTGCGCCTCCTCCTCCGCCTCCCCGCTTCCTGCGCATCCGCCATCTCAGCATTGTCACCGCCCTTATCAGCATCATCAGCATCATCATCAGCATCATCATCAGCAGCATAACCATCATCATCAGCAGCATCGTCATCAGCAGCATCATCGTCACAAGCAGCATGAACAGCATCATCGCCCTTATCACTGAAATCACAATCATCATCATCATCATCCCCGTTACCACCCTCGGCAACATCCTCATCATTCCCATCATCCTTCCCAGCATCACCATCATCATCCCAGTCATCATCCTCGGCGTCGTCATCATCGTCATCGGCATCATCAGCATAATCATGATCACGATCATCATCACACACAGCATCAACATCAGCATCAGCAGCTTCCTCGCCATCGTCATCATCATTGTCATCATCATGATCATCGCCACCAACACCCATTACTGTGCTCTTCCGAGTGGTCATGCTGCTCATCCTCATACTCCTCCGCGGCATAATCGTCGGCATCACAATAAACAATATCATCACCAACATAGCCATCATCATCACCGTCATCATTACAGCATCGTGATCATGATCATGGCCATGATCATCATCATCATCATCATCATCATCATCATCATCATCATCATCACCGTCATCGCCATCATCATCGTAAACATCGGCACCCTCATCACCTATCAGCATGTTTTCCCCACTCTTCAATTCATGTCTATTCCTCTTCGCCCACCTCAACCTCATGCATCAACCGAATCAGAATCATCAGCAGCAGAATCAACATCATCAGCATCCCCCAGCATCATCAACGCCTTCATCAACATCGCCATCGTCATCGCCTTCATCATCACCGCCATTATCATCCTCATCCTCGGCCTCTCGGGTGCTCCTCCGTGTCTCTCCACCTCCTCCTCCTCCTCCTCCTCCTCCTCCTCACCCTTTTCTGCGCCTCCTACTCCGCCTCCCCGCTTCCTGCGCTTCCTCCATCTCAGCATCGTCACCGCCCTCATCATTATCATCATCATCATCATCATCATCATCATCATCATCATCATCATCATAAGCATCATCATCAGCATCGTCATCAGCAGCATCATCATCACCATCATCAGCAGCAACATCAACATCCTCATCATCCTCATCATTAACATCATAATCATCATCATCCCCGTTACCACGCTCGGCACCATCCTCATGGTCTTCATCATCATCAGCATCCCAGTCGTCATCCTCGTCGTCGTCATCATCGTCATCGGCATCATCAGCATAATCATGATCACCATCACCACCATCATCACAATCATCATCAACATCTTCATCAGCAGCTTCGTCGCCGTCGTCATCGTCATTGTCATCATCATGATCCTCGCCATCGTCATCGTCATCGTCATCTCACCGTCGTCATCGTCATGGTCTTCGTCATCGTCATCGACATCGGCATCGTCATCATCATCATCAGCATCATCATATTCTTCTTCATCATCGGCATCGCCACCATCGCCATTGCCGCTGTAGTTTTAGCATCATCATCAGCAGCATCAGCATCATCGTAGGTAGCACTAGCGACAGCATGGTCATCCTCTCCCCCGCGGTCGCTGTCCTGAGGGGGGGCCTTCCGCGGCGGGAGCACCTTCACCAGCGACGGCCACTCCGCGCCACCCACCAGCAGCTGCTGGCCGTCGCGCGGACCCAGCTGTACCTGACCAGCCCCGACCTCATCCCTTCAACCAAGATCGACAAGCCCAAAAGCGACGACAATCTTAGGGATGTGCCCTCAGAAACTGCGGGGATCCAAGGCATCAAGGTACGGTGATGGCAAACACAGGGATAGGGGCATGTTCCAGGCTGGTAAGTACCGTCTTGCTGCTGTCCGCCGCGTCCCAGAAGCCGAGGCACAGTGGGGTGTTGGCGCCGCACTGCCCAGTGGCCTCCTGTCGGCGGCGCGCCGAGGGGGGATTCGGATTCAAGGTTCGAGGTTTTCGGGCGGTTTCGTCGGCTCTCGGCGGTTTCCCAGCGTCGGGATGCGTTCCAGCGGCTGCGCCTCGCCAGAGGCGTTCCTGGGGCGCCCGGATCCTCCCAACTGGTGCCGAGCTATGACCCGACACCCACCAGGCGGTAGAGAGGGGGCATGCCTCCTCAGAAGGCAGCGGCTTCTCTGGCTTTCTGGGAAGCCCCCTGTAGCTTCGGGGAAGGCGCAGAAAGCTTCTCAGAAGGCCAGAGGCCTCCCGAGCAGTCCGAGAGGGTCCGCACGCCCTCGGCCTTTCCCCCCTTCCGGGGCGCGCCGCCGCTCCTGGTACACGTACTGGATCGTGCCGACGGCGGAAGAAGAAAAACAGCACAATTCGCAAGCTCTGATCTTAGCAGCCGCCAAAAAAAATTACACAGACACCCTCCAATGGATCGCCTGTGGGCCTCAGGGGGAGGGTGGCGGTGTATAAACCGCCACTGAGAGCCAACGATTTTCTACATCGCCGCCCTCCCTGAAGGTACATGCAAGGTTGATTGGAGGATGTCTGTGTATGCTGCTCGTGGCGTATAACTGCCCCGATACGCAACATGCAACACGTGGCGTATAGGTACGGAGCTCAACACGCATCGAGGCAACTAAAACTCTGACAGGTCCGCGGGATTTCCTGGATCTGCGCTGGAGGCCCCTGCCGCAGTCCTGGCAGTCTCCGGCGCCGCCACTGACGCGTTCAGAGAGAGCGAGGGAGGGGGTGGGGCCAGCGCAGACAATCGAAACCCGCGCGGGAGTTCGAAAGATTGCGGTCAGGAACTTGTGCTTGGCGTGTCGCGGCGGCGGTAAAGGCGACACGCTACGCCTTGCAAACGGATAGCGTGTCGCTCCACCCCGCGGGACGGAGGCTGTGAAAGGCTCGGGACGTTAACTCTCGGGGGCCGGGACGTGGATAGCACCGCGTGTCGACCCGCAGCGTGGTGGGCCAGAACTGGCGGCGCGACACGCTGAGTAACAAGTCCTGACCGTATGCTTATGCAGTTTCAACTTCTTCGGGATGGGGATGCGCTTCCACGGAGACTCGTGCTTCGGGTTCAGGAACGAGAAGAACTCGGGGCCCTCCTCGGTGTCGTGCTGGTGCTCAGTAGAGACCACCGACACGTGGAACTGGGAGCCCGTGAGGGCGGTGTGCATCGAGTGCCGGCAGTCCTTGTCTCTTGGCATGATTCACGTTCGGCCCACTCTCAGGCCACGGATCTCTGCATAAAGCTGACGTCGCCCCGGTGCCGACGGCAACGACAAGGACGACAACAACGACGACGTGTGCGACGTCGACGACGTCGACGTCGACGCCGACGCCGACGACGACACGATGACAGAATTTAACACGCCACTCTGGTGTTAAATTCCGTTCTTGGGCTCCTTCACTCCTCCGTCTCCTCCTCCTCCCCGCCCTCTCCCCCCCGTTTCCCTCGAGAGCCGATGCCTCCAGGGTCGGCGGCACAGGCCGTAAGGCCAGCGCAAGATTGGCATGATTCACGTTCGGCCCACTCTCAGGCCACGGATCTCTGTATAAAGCTGACCACTGCAGGTCGGTTTGTGTGGTGTTCCTGGTTTGGCGGCTGATCTATTCGCATTGCACTTGCCGCCGAGCTTTAAAATATCCTAAGATTGCATATTGTTGTTACTTGAACGCCTCTGGACCTCATTCCTGCTTCTCCTCTTTCCCCTCCTTTTCTTCATTCTCATATCACTCAGACACTCATGCTCAGATCACTCACACCCATCACGGGGTCCATCACATAACCGCTCTTCTTCACGGGGCCTGTCACAAACTCACTGTCCCTCACGCAGACTCAGCCACATCACTTCCTCACTCAGACTCACTCAGACTCAGACACGCTCAGACCCGCTCAGACCCACTCAAGGAATTAGCCTCAGACGCTCACTCCGACACACTCTTTCTCATTCGAACTCACTCAGACATCTCTGATGGTCCGCTGCTCACCGCGTTGTAGCAGGCGTGGCACTTGGGCGCACCAAGGCGGCCGCCAGGGAGTATTTCACGGGCCCGCTCTCGCACAGAATGTGGGGATCCGTCAACTGGTTTACCTGTATCTGCCCCACTTGACTGTTCTCTTTTGGTCGCCCACCGCTCAACGCGATAGAGCAAACGTGGCATCTGGGCACCCCATGGGGAATCGTCCGGTCGCGCCCAAAATGTGGGGATGTTTCACGCCATTTGCGTGTTTCAGCCCCCGAGACTTGTATCATGTGGTGGTCTACTGCTCACCGCGATATTACCAGCGTGGACCCTGGAAGGGCGGCCGCTCGGAATTATGCCACTCGCCCGTTTGCGCCCAGGTTGTGGGGATGCCTCCAGCGGATTGTCTGCTTCCGCCCCCCAATGATCCAATGCTCATCGCGATGCAGGTGGCAGGGCATGCGGGCACGCCGAGAGGGACTGCCAGGGGGTATGACACCCGCCCGTGCGCGCCCAGATTGTTAGGATGCTTTAGGCGGGTTGCTTGCTTTTGCCCCACAAGCTTTGTCCCAACCCTCCTTGGTTGGGTATTCGTTTTGAAGAGAGGGGTGTGGTCGCGTCCTCCTCCTCCCGCCTCCCGCCTCCTCCTGCCCTCTCTTCGCCGACGATGGGGGCTGCGATCTGCGAAACTGTCCCCACTTTCGAGGGCTGCTGGTGGGTGGTCCTGCGGAGTGAGGCACCGCGCGGATCTGAGCAAGACCTCGCCGTGCCTGGGGGGCTGCGATCTGCGAAACTGTCCCCACTTTCGAGGGCTGCTGGTGGTCCAGCGGAGTGAGGCACCGCGCAGATCTGAGCAAGACCTCGCCGTGCCTGGAGGGCTGCGATCTGCGAGACTGTCGCCACTTTCGAGGGCTGCTGGTGGGTCCAGCGGAGTGAGGCACCGCGCAGATCTGAGCAAGACCTCGCCGTGCCTGGGGGGCTGCGATCTGCGAGACTGTCGCCACTTTCGAGGGCTGCTGGTGGGTCCAGCGGAGTGAAGCACCGCGCAGATCTGAGGACCTCGCCGTGCCTGGGGGGCTGCGATCTGCGAAACTGTCCCACTTTCGAGGGCTGCTGGTGGGTCCAGCGGAGTGAGGCACCGCGCAGATCTGAGCAAGACCTCGCCGTGCCTGGGGGGCTGCGATCTGCGAAACTGTCGCCACTTTCGAGGGCTGCTGGTGGGTCCAGCGGAGTGAGGCACCGCGCGGATCTGAGCAAGACCTCGCCGTGCCTGGGGGGCTGCGATCTGCGAAACTGTCGCCACTTTCGAGGGCTGCTGGTGGGTCCAGCGGAGTGAGGCACAGCAAGACCTCGCCGTGCCTGGGGGGCTGCGAGTGAGGGCTGCTGGTGGGTCCAGCGGAGTGAGGCACCGCGCAGATCTGAGCAAGACCTCGCCGTGCCTGGGGGGCTGCGATCTGCGAAACTGTCGCCACTTTCGAGGGCTGCTGGTGGGTCCAGCGGAGTGAGGCACCGCGCAGATCTGAGCAAGACCTCGCCGTGCCTGGGGGGCTGCGATCTGCGAAACCGTCGCCACTTTCGAGGGCTGCTGGTGGGTCCAGCGGAGTGAGGCACCGCGCAGATCTGAGCAAGACCTCGCCGTGCCTGGGGGGCTGCGATCTGCGAAACTGTCGCCACTTTCGAGGGCTGCTGGTGGGTCCAGCGGAGTGGGGCACCGCGCAGATCTGAGCAAGACCTCGCCGTGCCTGGGGGGCTGAGATCTGCGAAACTGTCGCCAGTTTCGAGGGCTGCTTGGGGGGGGCAGCATAGCGATCTGCGAAACTGGCCCCACTTTCGAGGGCTGCTGGTGGGTCCAGCGGAGTGGGGCACCGCGCAGATCTGAGCAAGACCTCGCCGTTCCTGGGGGGCTGCGATCTGCGAAACTGTCCCCACTTTCGAGGGCTGCTGGTGGGTCCAGCGGGGTGAGGCACCGCGCGGATCTGAGCAAGACCTCGCCGTGCCTGGGGGGCTGCGATCTGCGAAACTGTCGCCACGTTCGAGGGCTGCTGGTGGTCCAGCGGAGTGAGGCACCGCGCAGATCTGAGCGGAACCTCGCCGTGCCTGGGGGCTGCGATCTGCGAAACCGTCCCCACTTTCGAAGGCTGCTGGTGGGCCCAGCGGAGTGAGGCACCGCGCAGATCTGAGCGGGGCTTCGTCCCCTTGGGGGGCTGCGATCTGCGAAACCGTCGCAACTTTCGAAGGCTGGTGGCGGGTTCAGCGGAGCGAGGCACCAGGCAGATCTGAGCGAGACATCGCAATCCTTGGGGGGCTGCGAGCCTCACGAATGCCGCTCGCAGAAATAGATGCGCCCATGTCACGTCATCACCTCCGTATAACGTCTCCCAAGCTACTCATGCCCCGCATTGCGCAGGGGTTGGGTACGTCGCCATGGTAATCTCTTTTAGCGGTCCACTATTCCCCGCGATGTAGCAGACGTAGCGTTTGGGTCCCCCACGGGGGAGCTGCCAGTGGATATGACACTCGCCCGTTCGCGCCCAGATTGCGGGGATGTCTCCAACAGTTCACGTGCTTCTGTCCCCCAAGATGTTTCTCTTTTGGTGGTCCACTCCCCACAACAATCTAGCAGTCGTGGAAGCTGGGCCCCGACAGGGAAAGAGAGCCGCCAAAGGTAATTCCCTGGCCCCTTAGCGCCCAACGTGTGGGGATGTTTCACGCGGCTTGCCTGTTTCTATCCAGCGCGATTTTTTTGTATATGGGTGTTCTACTGCTCACCGCGGCGTAGCACCCGTGCCACTTGGGCACCCCGAGAGGGGAACCGCCAGGGGGTGTGCCACGGGCCCGTTCGCGCCCAGCTTGTGGGGAAGTGTCAGGCGGTTTGCCGGTTTCTGCCCCCCGCACAATTTGTGGCCCACCGTTCACTGCGATGGGGGGCCACCAGGGGTGGGGGCACTCCAGGATTCGCGCCCGTACCGTGGGGGTCCTAGGCGGTTTGCCTGCTTCTCCCTCGCGGACTTCTCAGTGGACCTGTGTGCACTCCCTCCCTCCATCCCTCCCTCCTGCTGCCCCTCCCTCACTCACTCACCCACTCACTCTCTCACCTCCCCTTTGTCCTCCTCCGCCTCGTCGTCGTCGTCGTCGTCCTCCTCCTCCTCCTCCTCTTCCTCCTCCTCCTCCTCCTCTTCCTCCTCCTCCTCCTCCTCATCATCATCATCAGCAGCATCATCATCATCATCTTCCTCACTCAGACGCACTCATTCACACTCAAAGTTGCTCAGAAGCACTTCTTTCTCATTCAGACTCGGTGCGCTCGTACTCAAACCCGCTCATGATTAGGCCCGCTCATACTCATATTCAAACAAACTCAAGCTGATTAGCGCACAGACTGAACACGTACAGACTCAGTCATGTTCAAGTTTACCTACCGTCAGGCCTGCTCATACTGAAACTACCCCGTACTCAGGCTCATTCAGATTCAGACTATCAATTCTTCATCACACTCGCACTCCGACTCGCTTGCGCTCAGACTCAGTCGCACCCAGACCCACTCGCATGTAGACCCCGCTCGCATTCAAACTCGACCATACGCAGATTCGCTCGCATTCCGAGTCGCTCACATTCAGATCACTCGCGCTCAGATTCGCTCGCATTGAGGCTCTCGCGCAAGTGGCTACAGCTAAATAGCCGGCGTGGCAGCTGGGCACCCCAAATGCCAGCAAACGCGGCGAGTAGCACGCTAGAGAGCGGGCGTGGCAACGCAATGCGCGCTTGCCTGAATTGCCGCAGTGGGAACGGTAAGAAGCATTCCCCCTGACTGCCTGACTGTCCATTTGTGCTTCCATTGTCTCTCCTGAAAGATGTCCAGGGGAGGAGGACATCGCTGAAGTCGTCGCTGCCGTCGTCGTTGTCGCGCCTGTCGTCTACGCGGACTCGGTTTCGCACCCAGGAACTCACAGACAGAGTTTCTCAGCCAGACGCGACAAGAGCTATGAGATGCACATATCGGGGTCTCCGCCTCGAGCAAAAATTATTGACGACAACACCTTACTGGCTCCGACCCCCCCCAGTAACGTCACGGTTTGCGCCCGCGCCGTGTGGACATTCGCCATCCCTACGCATTCAGCCGGCGACGGCGCAAATAGCGACGTTCCTGGCCCTCTCCCCCCCCCCCTCCAGCCCCTGGTCACGTCCCGCATCGCCACGCGATTACAAAAAACAATGTCAGCACAAACCCAGATCGGCCTGGGCCCCGTCGCGAAGCCTGGCCAGCCGCTCAGGAGCTCCCAAACTTGGGTCAGCGGAGAGCGACATGGGGGAATCGGCCCCACGAGCCTCCCAAACCTGGGTCGGCCAGAGAGGGTAGGCTGACCCCCGTTAGCGCTGACCCATCACGTGAGCCCCAGGCCTTCATCCGACGGCTGTTGGGCGATAGCTCGGGCCTCCAGCGGCCATCACGGGGCGCTTCTGTCATCTCTGGAACGCCCGTGACGAAACGCAGATGACGGAACCATCCTGGGGCCCCAAATGCCTCCGAAGACCTTCGACATCTCTGACAACCACGTGGCCGACTTCCGTCACGTGAGCCCCGAGTGGAGATCTGCGAGTGCCACTCGTCAGGGGGAAGCCAAACACTTAACGATACTGCTACTCCCTGGCCCTCTCTCTGATCAGGGGGACGTAAGACCTGGGTACAGGGGACTCGGAAATCCCCGACGAGGTCGTCGAAAAAATGACGAGGCCGAGCCTGCATTTTGACGAGGCTTCCCGCTGCAGACATCCCACGAAACTCCTCCTCGTCAAAATCCGAGGCGCGGTCGTCAAAAAACGATGGCGAACCCGAGTCCTGGCAAACCCGGGTCTCAATTACGCTCCCCCGATCTGAACGCATTCTGACCAGGATTTCGAGGCGAGCGCAGCCGTGACGACGAGGGCCCCCCAGGAGGTCCAGACAGGCGAGCCCGGGGCAACGGGCAGCGCGGCATTGGTCCCTTGACGAAGGCTCCCATGCCCCCCCCCCCCCCTGAAGTCCTTTGACGAAGAGCGCATGGTCATCTGCACGAGCGCGGGGTGCAGCGACGCGCCGGGCACCAGGGACCGCAGCGCGCTGGGCACGACCGGCAGCTGTGCGCTGTGCGCCCAGGAGGCGCTGCCCCCGCCGCAGGGCTGGCGGGCCGAGGCCGCCGGAGCCTGGGCACGGGCGGCGACGGGGGCGGAGGCCAGGAGGAGGAGGAGGAGGAGGAGGAGGAGGAGGAGGAGGAGGAGGAGGAGGAGGGGAGGAGGAGGGGGAGGAGGAGAGGAGGAGGAGGAGGAGGAGGAGGAGGAGTGGGAGGGGGAGGGGAGGAGGAGGAGGAGGAGGAGGAGGAGGAGGAGGAGGAGGAGGAGGAGGAGGAGGAGGAGGAGGAGGAGGTGACACAGTGTTTGTTTGCGTCGGCGGCTAGGCAGGGGACGTCTGCGCTGGCGATGGGATGCCTCAACGGGGGTGCCGTCGGAGCGAACCGTGCCACCATGCAAGAGGAGGAGCGGGGGGAGGGGGCGCGGCCGAGAGAGGGGCGGACGGAGCGAGCGGCTCAGGGGGGACGGGTCGCTCCCCGAGCGGCGGCGCGGCCAGCCCCGCCGGCGGGCCCACGGCGGCTGCTGCGTCGGCGGGCCAGCGGCGGCGGGGCCCAGTGTGGGAATGGGTATCCTGGGCTAAAGGGGCGCAGGCTGCTGCAGTCCGACACCCCCCTCGCGTCATGACAGAATCACGGCGGAAAACGTTTCGCTGTCGTCGGCCTCTGGGGGGCCCTTACCAAGCCTCGGGGCCGTCACAAAAACAGCTCAGGATGAAGAAACCGGTCCCGGAGAGTGGGTCGAGGCCTCGGGAGGTCGACGTCATGAAAAAATCATGACGTCGAAGGTCTGGGATGCGCCGGCCCAGTGCGCACGGGGCCGCCCGGAGGGCCCCGGACGACGAATACCCCGGTAGCCCCGTCCAGGATGTCAGAACTCCCTTGGGCGGTCTGCCGGACCCCAGGAGGCCCCAGCGGCGGTCGAGCTGGTTCTACAGCCATGCTGCTACAACAAGGAACGCCAACTAAGGAACGAAACCCCCTTTTCGGCACCAAAAGAGCCTTTGGTACATAAGGAGGGCTCGAGGAGCAACCGCGGAATGACCTGAGGAACAGCGAGCCCCTTCCGAACCCAAAGCGGTCCTTATTTCATCGTCTTCACAGTACTAGTACGATGCACCTCCTCTTGAAGGCGCATGTCCAAGCCGAATGCAAACATCTTGTTCTATATCGCTACCTAAGATGAATTGCCAGAAAGCGGCCGCTCACGAGCATGTGCTGTTATATTTCTGAGTGTGCATGTTGCCCCTGGGAAGGCCGACGCACACATAGCATGAGTATGTTCAGGTGGTGCAGAGCGATCACCGTGCAAAATGACGATTGAGAAAACTCCGGTGGGTGGACAAACAGTGTCCACGTCCATGGCGCCAAGACAACAATACGACGAAGTGCATTCAAAAAACCCATGGCCCCCTCCCCTCAAACCCAAAGTTGTCAGCGGTGCGCACGAGGCAACGCGCGAAAGACAAAATGTGGACACTTTAACTTTGGGCTTGGGTGGACAGGGGCGGGACATACGCTATGTAAGATGTTTTTCAACATCACGTGATCTGGTCTTCGTGCGATGGGCACCGTCACAGGTGGAGCGAGTTCATACAGACGATGCTGCCGTCCGGGAACGTCTCTTGGAGACGGCGGTCAAAGAATCAGAGTCTCAATAACGACGGCGACGCTCTGGAACCCAATGTATAAATCACCACACAGCGGCGCGTGTCGCAGCGGCGGCCCTGGCGACACGCTATGCCCTGCGATCGGACATCGCGTCGCTCTCCGCCGCGGGGCGGGAGGCTAGGAAAAGCTCGGAACGGTGATGGTTGGGGACTGGGACGTGATTAGCGTATCGTGCCGAAGCGTGGTGGGCCAGAACTGGCGGAGCGACACGCTACGTAAGCACAAATTCCCCACCGCGTATCCCCATCCATGCCCTCACGGTCTAGACCCAGAGCGCCACTTCCCACGAATGCGCGATCCACATTGGATACGATCCGCGCGGGACGCCCGCGAAGAGCCGCCCGGTGCCCCTGCGTCAGCAGGGGTCGCACCACCAGGTATCCAGCCCGCGAGGGCGTGGACACGGCGGGCGGGCATACGTTCACAACGTCGGCGTTGTTCGCAGAGGCGAGGGCGGGGAACGCAATGCCTGGCCTCTGCAGGGCCCTGGCCGAAACCGGCGCGCGCCCCCCCGAAACGCCGACGAAGGCATCCCCTGCGCGATTCCAGTCGATCGAGATTCCAGCAGGCGCCCATACGATGTCCATCTCTTGAAGCCCTGCACCCGAACATATTGACGTCTGGCTTCTACTTCGGGGATGGGCAAGGCCCCCTCTAGCAGAACGCCCTTCAGCAGAAGCTGCCAGGGGCACTCCGCGTGCGCACGGCACTGCATTCCGAGTGCACCCCAGCGGGGTGGCCAATCGACGTCCAAAAACAATCTAAGGCATCCAGCGAAGCGCACGCCGATTAGCGAAACCGACTGCGAAGTGCACCGGCACACTCGAATGCGAGGGTCGAGTAAACCAGTCTAAGTTTCCTCGACTGCTCTGGGTGGGCGGGCCGTCCCGATGAGTTGCGCCGTCTTCCTCCGCCGACCTGTCGCTGGCTTCCGCTGGCGAGCCCGCCGCCGTCTCGTTCTCCGCCGGGCCGGCCGAATGCGATGCCCTTCCTGGATCGCGCCAAGCGCTCCGCTCCCGCCCGAGATCTTCGACGTCGTGTTTTTTTCCCAGCGCGAGCCCGCAGAAGTCTGCTGAGATACCCGCTGGGGTTGCTGCTGAGGGGACAGGAAGGCTGGACGTTGATGCTAAGGTGGGATATCATATCTCTGGCCGAACCTAACTGATCCTCCACTCTACCTCTGGCACGAAGTGGAGTGCCCCAAGGCTCATGCAGCACTGTGTGGTGGAGGCTGCGCTGCTGCTGCAGCTGGACTTGCAAAGTCTCGGCACGGACCAGTTGTTTCCCGGGCCATCTTGGGGCGGCCCCCGTGGATTCTGTGATATATTTCGGGCCCAAGAGTGCCCCGAGACGGGCTTAAATTGCCCCGAGAAGAAGCCCCAAGACGGTCCAAGAGGGCCCCGAGTCGCCGAACGATTGTTCTAAGACGCTCAAGATGGCCCCCATACGGCCCAAGAGGCCTCCAAGACGCCGAACGAGGCCTCCAAGAGGCCTCCCCAGAGGGCCCTAAACATGCTTCATTCCCCTTTGTTGTTTGAAAGATGTTGGCGTTCTCGCTTTTTCTGCCTCCCGACACTCCCAGACGGCCCTAGAAGCCCCCAAGACCGCCCCAAGACGGCCCAAGAAGCCGCCAAGAGAGTCCCACAACGGCCCAAGCGGGCCCCAAGACATCCCAAGAGGCGCCCAAAACGGCCCAAGAGTGCCCCGAAAGGGGCCCCAAAGAGGGAGCACGAACCGAAAAGCAGAGTCTTCCGCCGCAACACAAGAAGGCCCCAAGAGGCGCCCAAGAGGCCCTCAAGAATCCCCGCAAGAGGCCACCAAGAGGTCCCAAGAGGCCCCCAAGAGGCCCAAAAGAGGCCCCAAGAGGCCCCAAACAGCCCCCAAGAGGCGTCGAAACTGCCTCCAAGAGGCCCCCGAGAAGCCCCCCACGAGATCCCAACGAACAGAAAAAAGGCTTCATACCCACAACCCAGGCACGGTGGCGGGATAGGCCGAAGGCCATTTCAAATAAGTGGATTAGAAATGCCCAAATCGGTTCAGGGGGTACAGGTCCGGTCCAAGTGGGCGGAGTGCACTTAGTGAGTAATCTAATTACCCCATACTATCCAGGGCACATGTAACCCACTGATAAGCTAGACTAGGCCAGATCTAACCCCCCTTTGGCATCCACTTCTAACTCCCCTATCCCCTCGCACCCCCAACGGTCATCTCAACAGAACCCGCCCCGTGAGACTAGTGTTTCACCCGGGGTCGCTGTGCTGACGGTCCCAGGGCCCAGAGAGGGCCTCCGCAGACTGAAGCTGCCAAAGAACTCCCGTCGCGATGTCTGCACGAAGCGAGGCGGTCTGGCTTCTGGGTCGCACAATGTGGGTTCCTGGTGGTCCTTCGGAGCGCCCTCGGCGAGACGCAGCTGCGCAGGCCCGAGGCGGGGAGGCCTCCGCGAATCGACGAACACGTCCGAGAGCCTCAGAGCATCCACGAACAACTCCGCGTCACCCAGAACTCCGACGGGGTATTTGGTACGTTGCACGTGCAGACCCCGCAAGACCCGACCCCTTCCCCAGGACTGGTGTGCCATCCCGAGCCCATCCTGTCACGGTTCAGGGTCCCAATGGGGGCCCCCGGAGGCCGAAAACATGCAACGCGAACGCAGAATACTGGAAACGGGATTTTTTCGGTCGCGATCGGTGGCGACTGATCGGAGCTCTAAACGGGTCGCGACCAATCGCGACCGTTACCACAATCGGTCGCGACCGATTTTGAGCGGTCGCTGCCAGCACCGGAATACTTGAAGCAAAATATCGGTAGCGACCGATCTCGTCGGTCGCATCCTGAAAATTCTGGCTCCTCCTCCTCCTCCTCCTCCTCCTCCTCCTCCTCCTCCTCCTCCTCCTCCCCTCCTCCTCTCCTCCTCCTCCTCCCCCTCCTCCTTCCTCCTCAAGGAAGAAGCCACGCTTGGGCCTCGGACCGGGGTGGACGCGGGGCGGTCGCGGGGCAGAAGCCGCGGCGGGGCCGGCGGCAGTGGCCCCCTGACACCAACACCACACCCTCGTGCCGAGGGGACTGCGACGGACAGCTTTCTGCTGCTCCTGCATGGGGGGGCCTTCCTCCTCCTCCTCCTCCTCCTCCTCCTCCTCCCCCTCCTCCTATATTCCTCCTCCTTATATTCCTCCTCCTCCTCCTCCTCCTCCTCCTCCTCCTCCTCCTCGTATGAGCCCTGGTCCTTGCTGGGCCCCATGATATGACTGGCGGAAAACAGCCCAGGATGAGAAAACCGGTCCCCGGGACGGGGTCCAGACCTCTGGGGACACTTTTTTCGGTCGCGTCCGCTAGCGAAGGCGCTAGCGGAGTCAGAAGCGCTGCGGGTCACGACAGCGGCCTAATTAGCAGCTAAACGCGACTCGAGCCGGCCACCTCTGGGGGCAAATTACCGCCGCGAGCCGACGCGTGTCCCCAGAGGGACACGCGTCGCGAGCAGATTACGACGGCAGATGTCTGGGTAGCGGTAGCGGCGCGGTGGTGGTCGTCGTAGTGGCACTGGTAGTGAGATGGCCGCGGCGGTTGCTACGGGAAGGGGGGTTCGGGGTGGGTTGCACCTGGTCTGGCTTAACTTAGGAGTGGGGTACAGGTGCAAGTGGATTGGGAGGTTTGATAACTCCGCAACCTGCACGGGGCCCACTCATCGCCGCCGCCGACGCCGCCGTCGCCGCCTCCACCGCCGCCGCCTCTGTCGTCGTCGTCGTCGTCGTCGTTGTCGTCGTCGTCGTCGTCGTCCCCTTTCAGGGTCGGCGGCGCCGGCCGCAAGGCCTTGGCAGTAGCCACACACACACACACACCTCCCGTGGTTGGTCGTTGTCCCGGAGGCGCCTCGTCCGTGCCAGGGATGTGCATGGAGAAGGCCAGCGCGGCCGACGGCGCGCGCTCGCCGCCCGCGTAGGCGCCCGCGGGCGCCGGCCGCGGGTCTGCCGCGGGCGCAGGGCGCAGGCTCGCGATGCAGCCCGCGGCCTCGCAGGGGGCCGGTGCCAAAGAGGGGGCTTCACCAGGGGGGGGGGTGTGAGCGTCGGGGGTGAAGGTGGGACCCCGCCGGAAGGCCGTCAAGCCCGGATTCCGAAAGAGCGGGCACTATGGCCCATGCTCATGCTGAGCACTGGCCTCCAGAACCTGGGTCCCCCATGAGGGGGTGGAGGGAGTGGAGAGGGCTGCTTAGGAGAAGGCTGCCTCCAGAAGGCGCCAGCCTCATACCGTATCTGCAGAGCAAGGCCCGGCCCGCGCCCCCCAAGCAGGGGTGCTTCCAAGAAGCCCTCCCCCCCCCGACTAAGCGCGTGGCTGACGAGAACGCTGGAGTCGCCACACACCCACGGCGGGAGCAGAATCGGTCAGCACAGCATCGGGACCTCGCATCGGATCGGTATGTGCGTCGGCTCGGGCTGCACCCGCACGGAGTGAGCCAGGGCGGCTGCATCGGCACGGAAAAGCACAGCAGAGCTCTGCAGGCATCGGGCCGCCTCGGATCTGCCGAAAACAGCCCCGGGCGAAGACACAAGTCCCAAGGGCAGGGATACCTGGGGTCCACGCCGACGCCGAGGGAACAGACGACGTCGGGGTTCTGAGTCATCCGATCTGTCATCAGCCACACCTCGGCTCGGGCCCCCGAGGGCTGGCGCCCATCGGAGAGGAGTGGGGCTGGAGGCCCTCTGGGCCCCGACTGAATCCGACGTCGCGGCGGAAGAAATGCAGCACCGGGTAAAAAAATCGCAGTCAGAACCCTCGACCACACTCTCCTGCGGCACTTCTCGAGCCTGACCCGTCCGTGAGGAGCCCTCCCCGGGGCCCGAAGCGGGGCAAGAAACCATCTCGATGCGGACAGACTGCGACGCCCGGAGCTGGCCCTCAGTCCTCGATTCCCACGGGGGGGGCCGGGCGACACCCCGCCGGTGGTGACAAGGGCTCCTAACTTCGCGCTGCGCGCTGCGCGAAGCGCGAACAACTTCGCGCTCTCGCGCCGCCCCCAGAGGGGAGAAGTGGAGGACAAGGAGGAGGGGGAGGAGGTATGAGGCCCGCGAAGCGCGACTAACTTCGCGCCCTCGTGTGAGCCCTTGTCCTGGTCACAGGGGAGGAACGGAGGAGGAGGATGAAGAGAAGGAACAGGAGGAGGAGGGTATGGAGGAAGAGGAGGAGCAGGAGGAGGAGGAGGAGGAGGAGGAGGAGGAGGAGGAGGAGGAGGAGGAGGGAGGAGGGGAGTGGGGAGGAGGAGGAGGGAGGAGGAGGAGGAGGAGGAGGAGGAAAAAGGAGGAGGAGGCTCCCCCTCTTCCAGCTGCCGCGCGGCCTCGCCGGGCTCCGCCCGCCGCGAGGGCCGGTGGCTGGCCGCGTGAGGGGGCCCGCGGCCGCCGAGGTCGAGGTCCGGAGGAGCGCCGCTGGAGGCAGCGGCGGCCCTCCTCGGCGTCTGCCGCCCTCTTTCCAAGATCGGCGCGGAAGTCCTCCTCCTCCTCCTCGTCCTCCACCTCCTCCTCCTCCTCGTCCTCGTCCTCGTCCTCGTTCTCCTCCTCCTCCTCCTCCTCCTCTCCTCCTCCTCCTCCTCCTCCTCGTCCTCACCCCTCCTCCTCCTCCTCCTCCTCCTCCTCCTCCTCCTCCTCCTCGTCCTCCTCCTCCTCCTCCTCCTCCGCCTCCTCCTCGTGCTCATGGCGTAACAGAGGAGGGGGGGAAATGGGTCCTAAGGTGGGTCCTATCTGGCCTGGACTAGCTTGCAAGTGGGCCACGTGTGCCCTCAGCGTTTTACTGTGAGCAGACAGCTTGCGAGGCGGAGACTTTTTGTCCATGCCCCCCGCCTGGGAACCGACGTCCTGGTGCACTAGCGGGCGGTGTACATGGATACGTTTCGGCCCGCAGGGGCCAGAGTGTATCCATATCCACCGACGTCCAAGAAGATCGATCCCCCAGGCTGTGGTTATGGATAAATTCCCGCCTCGGATAACTCCGATAAGTGGGCTCCGCCAACTTAGACCAGACCAGACCAGTAAACCACTCAGGGCACTTGTAACCCCATTTATAAGCTTAGCTAAGCCAGAAATATCCCACCTTGGCATCCGCTTCTAGTCCTCCGATCCCCTTGGCAACCCCAGCGGTGATCTCATTTCTGGGCCTCTTGGGGGCCTCTCGTCACCGCGGCCTGATCGAGGAACGGGCCAGCATAGGCCCCAGGAGGGGTCCAGGGATCCACTTGAAGCGGATGTGGGCCAGGCGCCGACAGGTCCACATTGACCCATTTTGAGCGGATCTGGGCTGGCGCCTCAGACTTTCTCCGTCACAACTGTTTCCTCAAAGCGTACCTTCCCCCCCATTCCCTGGGACTGGCTTTTCATTCGTGGCCCCGGGCCCGGTGAGGACCCCTGGAGGTGGAACGTTTGCAAGAACCATCTTCTTAGTTTTCTACTGAGCTGTGCGCGGCGGTTGCTGAGGGGACAGGGGGGCCAGAAGTGGATGCTAAGGTGGATTACATCTGGCCTGCCCTAGCTTACACGCTGGTCGGAAGAAGTGGGTAGGAACATGAAGTGGGAAGGCGTTGGAAGTAGATTGGGCTTCCGCCCGCCCCCTGAGAAAGAGGGAAGAAGGAAACCAGTCGATCCCTGAAGTAGAAGGCGCCAAAAATGATTTGCATTTGGGAGTCCAGAAATACCTACTTTCAACGACCGGCGTGTAAAAACAAATTACACATGCCCTACATTGTTTACGGATGTTGGGGGACTCCGCTGAGTGAGCGGAGCCCACTTAGCCCAGATCGTTAACCTCCCTCACCCACTCAGGGCACCCGCAACACACTCATGAGCTACGGGAAAGCTGGTAACACTGAGGACTGGAATCGCTGCGGACGGACTTGTTAGAAAAGGGACACTCGTTCTCGCGTGGGCCTGCAAAAGACAAATGGAGCCGATGCTCCGAACACCAAGACAACAACGACCTGATGATAGCCCCCCAAATCGCGCACTACCCTTGGTCAAGATTGGCGCGGCCCGGCGAACGAAATACTGCCAGAAACCCAAAACATGCAACACGGGCCTGGCCCGCATACATGTGTCTCCAGCCTCCCTGTAAGATAGGCCAAAAATAACCCACCGTACAGTAGGAGCTCGATCACGAGAAACCTTCCACAAAAAACCCAACCCTGGAACCCCAGGACGACCCTTGATTTCCGGTGTGGGAGCGTCGCGCTTTCCATGGCAAAACCATGGAACCCCACGAATCCCAGGGCACCCAGGAGGGAAGCAGGGTGGCTCTTGGCATGGGCTTCCACTGTTACCATGCGCTTCGAAGCCCCTCCTCCTCCTCCTCCTCCTCCTCCTCCTCCTCCTCCTCCTCCTCCTCCTCCTCCTCCTCCTCCTACTCGAGCACTGGTCCATTCCTGATTGGCCTGCATGGGAGGCCGCGCGCAGCGGTCAGTCCCTGCGCCAGTACAAAACATTCGTGCGAGCTCACTTGGCTGAACGCTGCGAGGCGGAGCTGAGGCAGACGCTGAGCCTCCAAACGAGGCCGCTCCCGGTCCTCAGATTTGGGCCGGTCCCCAGGCAGGATCTTGCGCGGGCTCTGAAACAAGAACTGCCATTTGATGTGCTATTGGGTCAGCGTTCGCTGAGCAGACTACGAGGGCGGCTTGTGGCCTTCAGCCACTGTTCTGGCAATGTCTCTACGGCGCGGAGGCAGTCCTGCGTAATGTGCGGCATGCAGACCCTGAGCCCCACGTTCCACGTCCTCGGGCTGTGCTCTCGCACGGAGCTCCCCCGTCGCACCTTCTGGGAGGCCCGTGGAGGCCCAGCCCCCTCCTCAGCGGAGGCGGCGGCTGCAGCGATCCTCTCTGCAGGCCCGACGGATGCAGGGTATGCGCAGGCGGCCCTGCTGGCGCTCTTTGTCGACAGGGAGACGGATCGCTTTTGGGCGGCCGCAGGGAACAGCTACACCCGCCCTCCCTACCTCCTGCCTGGTGCCAGGTGGGAGGGTCGGGTCGTGCAGGGTCCTCCTACTTTCTGTTTTTCTCCTCCTCTCCTGGGGTGGCTTCCTCTCCCCCTTCCTGTCGCCGTCCCGCACCTGCGCCGTGCGTCGACCAGGCAGGGCAGGAGGGATCGGACGAGCCCCGGGCAGGAGCTCCCTGCCCGGCCCCCCCCCGCCCTGCGGGGAGCCCCTGAGTTGTCTCTCTCACCCCGCACCTGGTAGGGGATGGAGATTGTGATTCTGTCGTTGCGGTCTCCTCGGCTTGGTTTTTGGGTTCGCCCTTTTCTCTTGGGGGCGGGCCCTCTGGGGCCCTGTGTTCCCTGTCTCTCTGGGCGGAAAGCTTCGACAGATCCCGACTCGTCCCCTCCAGTGCTGGTGGATTGACCTCCAGGGCCGTCGCTGCACGGACACTTCCGAGCCTGCCCCCGGGGCCGTGGTGCCATGCTAAAAGGGAGTCGCGTCCGAAGCTCCCGCACCAGCTCCATGGGAGCACCACCTACCTACCTACCTCCTCCTCTTCCTCCTCCTCCTCCCCCCCCTCCTCCTCCCCCCCCCTCCTCCTCCTCCTCCTCCCTCCTCTCCTCCTCCTCCTCCTCCTCCTCCTCCTCCTCCTCCTCCCCCCCCCTTCCTCCTCCTCCTCCTCCTCCTCCTCCTCCTCCTCCTCACTCCTCCTCCTCCTCCTCCTCCTCTCCTCCTCCTCCTCTCCCTCCTCCTCCTCCTCCTCCTCCTCCTCCTCCTCCTCCTCCTCCTCCTCCTCCTCCCTCCTCCTCCTCCTCCTCTCCTCCTCCTCATCCCCCTCCTCCTCCGCCTCCTCCTCTCTCCTCCTCCTCCTCACCTCCTCCTCCTCCTCCTCCTCCTCCTCCTCCTCCTCCTCCTCCTCCTCCTCCTCCTCCTCCCCCTCCCCCTCCGCAGCCGCCGCGGCGATCTCGGCAGCGACGCGGGGCAAGGCCGCCGCGGCCTCCGCTGGCCCCTCCTCCGGGAAGTCCAGGTCCACGGAGGCGGCGCGGCCCGAGCCCTGCGAGTGCGCCTCTCGCGGGCGCCCAAGTCTTGGGCGCACCCCCCCCTCCTCTCCTCCTCCTCCTCCTCCGTCCTCCTCCTCCTCCTCCTTCCTCCTCTCTGCCTCCCCCTCTCTCCCTCTCCTCCCTCCTCCTCCTCCTCCTCCTCCTCCTCCTCCTCCTCCTCCTACCTACTCTCCTCCTCCTTCTCCTCCTCCTCCTCCCTCATCCTCTCCTCCTCCTCCTCCCCTCCTCCTCCCTCCTCCTCCTCCTCCTCTCCCTCCTCCTCCCTCCTCCTCTCCCCCCCCTCCCCTCCCCCTCCTCCTCCTCCTCCTCCTCCTCCTCTCCTCCTCCTCCACTCCCCTTCGTCCTCTCCTCCTCGTGCTCCTCCTCCTCCTCCTTCCCTCCTCCTCCACCTCCTCCTCCTCATCCTCCTCCTCCGCCTCCTCCTCCTCCTCCTCCTCCTCCTCCTCCTCCTCCTCCTCCTCCTCCTCGGGGTGCGCAACTCGTGGCCCGAGGCACGTGCGCGGCCCGAGCGGGGACCAGGGGCAGTGGTGGCATCAGCAGACGGGGGGGGGGGGAGGGAGGGGAGGGGAGGGAGTGAGGCATGAGATCCGGGGGGCAGTGGTGACAGGAGCAGAGGGGAGGGGGAGGGGGGGGAAGGGAGGTGGGGGCGGGGGGAAGGCATGAGAGGTCCGGCGAGGCGTCATGCAACCCGGGCATGATCTCCACCTCCCCCCTGGTGATCCCCCCCCCTCTCTCGGCCGCCCCTGCGCCTCGGAGCCCCGCCGCGAGCCGCCACGCGCGCCGCCCGCGCGCGGCGAGAGGTCCTCCGCCAGCGAGCTGCGGGCGGAGGAGGCCTGGCTGCTGCGCGAGCGGCCGATGTTGTCCTCCCGGGCCCCGGGATGGCAGCGCGGCGGCGCAGAGCGAGGCCCCCCGACGTCCGCGCACCGCGAAGGCAGAGAGGACCGAGGCGGAGGGCCCCTGGCCAGGCCTCGGCCTCCGCGGGGGGCCCTCGCCCCGCAGAGGCGGGCCACGGGGCCCCGGCCGGGACCGTCCGCTCGAGCAGCTCGGGGCGAGCGGCCCGCCCTCTGTCGCCGTCGCTCGGCCGCCGAGGCCCCGTGCACTGTGTGGTTTTTCTCGTGCGTGCACGGTGCCCTCGAGATGGTCCGAGGTGGTCCGGGTAGTCTGGCGCTGGCCTCGCCGAAGACAGGTGCACACGTCCGAGCGATGGGGAGCGAGGGGCCTCTGAGCCGAGTCCAGGCACACCGGGACAGACACAGACATCCGACGTCGTGTGCAGGTTCGCAAAAGTAGCAATGCAAGCTGAAGCCTGGAGGAAGGAGGAACGGGGAAGGGCAATGTGATGGTGAGCGTTTTTTCGGCGTTTCGGCATTGGGCGGAAAGAAGGGGGGGAGGCAGGGGGGTCTGGCTCTGGACCTCTGCTTAGTGCGACTGCTTGCGACAGTGCGTCCTATGGGGAGGGACTCCACCTGCTCGAAACAGGCGCAAAAAACAGCCAAGATCCACTCCAGGGGGGGGTCCGAGGGCCCGCGCCGATCGGCAAAACAATGAATAAAGAAACGATCACATGAAGACGCGATGTTTGCGGGTGCGAGCTGTCGGACGCCGTGGGGGGCTCCCATTCGAGCGGCCACCCCCCTCCGACAACACACGCCCATGCCCCCCCCCCCCCCCCAGAATTCGACCCCAACGCGGGCGTCGCGCAAGCGTGGGAGCCAGTTGTCAGCGCGTGGCGACAGAAGGACCCGCTTGTCATCCTCGGTCGCTTCTTGACGGTCCTGCAGGGCCCGGCAAGGGTCCCCCTGAGGCAGAAACTGGCCGGAAAAACAGGCCGTCGTGCTTTTTGGCGGCGCGCAGAAGGGGGTGGGGGGAGGGGGGAAGGCTTCTTAGAAGGAGGCTGCTTCTTAGAAGGCGGCGGCCTTACATCTTCACATAAGGACCGCGCCTTCTAAGAGGCAGGGGTGCTTCTAAGGAGCCTTCCCCCCTCCCCCTAACCCCCCTCTGCGCGTGGCCGAGCTTTGCCGTCTGCGGCGCGCGGAAGCCAGGGCACCTCTCGACCGAGGCGGGCCGAGCCAGGCTCCGTCCGAACCCGCGGCGCGATCGGCCATCCTCCCCTGCGACCCGGGCGTCCGCGGAGGAGCTGTTGCCGCCCGCAGCCCCGCCGCCAGGGGCCGGCGTTCCGCCCTGGGACACGGCGGCATTCCACAAGGCATCGCCAGCGACGGAAGCCCGAGCCGGTGGCGCGAGCGGCGCGATCGGCGCGGCGGGCGAGCCCCATGCGATCTCAGACTGGACTTTGACGGGGCATCCTGCAGCATGGCGATCTCCAGTGGCAATGTCCAGGGGCACGCCGGGTGCGCACGGCGCTGCATTCCATTCCAGTGGACACGGGCGGGATGGCTGATCGGCGTCCCGAAACAAGCGAATGTATCCGGCAACACGCACGTCGATTCGCGAAACTGACTGGGGACTGCACCTACACATCCGAATGCCAACGTCGAGTGACCTGGCGCAGATTTCCTCAGTCCACTTGTCTGGGTGGGGGCGGTCCCAGAGATCCGACGTCCTGATTTTGTTGAATAATTACGGGGTCCCCTGAAGCCCCGACCCGCCAGAGCCGGCTTTACATCGCGAGTCGTGCTTCGAGGGCCCCAGGGCCCGGCGAGGGCCCCCGGAGGCCGAACACGACGCCGGTCGGGAACTCTTGCGGAGCGTGTGGCGGCGGCGGCCCCGCTCCGCTCCGCGGGAGACCGGGAAAGGCTCGGGACGCTGACGCCCGGGGAAGGGGGACGTGCACGGCGTGCCCAGACCCCCGACGTCATGATTTTTTCATGACGTCGACCCCCAGAGGTTTGGACCCATTCCCCAGGACCGGTTTTCCATCCTGAATCGTTTTTTGACGGTCCCGAGGCCCGGTAGGGGCCCCCCAAAGCCGCAAATATGGAAAAACCTCCCGTCGGCCGTCGTGATTGTTTCATGACTCGAGGGGGTCTGGGTGTCGCGCCGAAGCCTGGCGGGCCAGAGCCGGCGGAGCGACACGTCAGGCCGACGTTGCCGGCTCTGGAAACCGCTGCCCCGGGTGGTTTTTTCGGGCCGGAGCTCGGGCCTCCAGCGGCCGGTCGGCACGATCCGGGCACACCCAGAGCGTCCTCGGCGAGGCGCGGCTGCTGGAGACCACCCTAATTGGGGCTGAACATCTCCTCGAGAACCCGCGAGGAAACGGCCGAGAGCCTCGCACCTCGAGCCCGAATACCACGAAACTCGACCTCGGACCCCCGTCTTGATTTGCTGATGCTCTGGAGATCTGGGCTCCTTGCCCGCTCGAGGAGGCGGCGCGGATCCTGCAGCATCTGGAACATCGCGGTGCCCAGCGCACCCTCGGAGGCCTCCGCGCTCCGCCGGGCGGAGCAGACCTCCGGTGGCTGCGCGCGCCTCTCTGCTCACGATACCCGCTGGGATGGCCGCTGGGGGTGCTGCGGGGACAGGGGGTGTAAATGTACAGGGCAGTTTTTAATACATGGGATTCAAAAACATAGGATTGTTTAATACATGACTCATGCATGAATAAAACTGTTACGCATGAACTCATCGTCGCTTTTAATACTAAATCCCTGCATTTTCAATACATGATCCGCACGCGGAGCATGTATTAAAAACGGCACTGTAGGAAGAAGAACGGAATAAACACGAGCTTCGGGAAGTCCGCGCGGACTTCGTGGATCTGCGTTATCTGTGTTGCCCTTCCTTCTCTGGCGCGCGGAGCGCGCCAGGGGCCGCGCCGGAGGCGCCGCCAGGGGGCTCCAGCGCAGATCCAAGACATCCGCGCGGACCTCCCAAGTTGGTTCCATTCGAAGCGGTTGCTAAGGTGGGATCGATCTGGCCGAGCCTAGCCTGCAAGGGGGTTTGACAGGTGGCCCAAGAGGATCGAGGGTGATAGAGAACCCCGCTGAGTGGGCGGAGCCACTTAGCCCGGATCGTTAACCCCCTAAACATTTTAGAGTACCCGCAACACACTTATTCCCCAATTGACGCTTGCACTGAAGGGGTCCTACATTCCCGAACGATTTCGGTAGGCGGCCGGGTTCCTGGGTTCCCGGTTCCAGTTTCCCTGGTTCCCGGTTGCTGGTTGCGGACCGATTTCGGTGAGCGGCGGGATTCCCAGGGTTCCAGGTTCTGGTTCCAAGGTTTCTGGGTTCCTAGTCGATCTCACTATGGATGTCGTTATCGATCTCACCGTCCATTTCACTCAATCGACCTCACTATCGAGCTCACTATCGATCTCACGATCCATGTCACTCGATCGATCTCACTATCGATAACACGATTGATCTCCGCATCGACCGCAAAGTCGATATCACCACCGATCTCACTATCGATCTCACAATCGATCTCACGATCGCTCTCACTATCGGTGTCAATATCGATGCCACTAACGATATCACGATTGATCTCACTATCAGTATCACTATCGATCTGTCGATCGCACATATCGATCGCACTACCGATCTCACGATCGATCTCAATATCAATTTTACGATCGACATCACCATCGATCTCGCGATCGATCCCACTATCGATCTTAGTATCCCTGTCACCCAACCGGTCTTACAATCGAAATCACTATTGGTCTCCCTATCGATCTCACAGTCCATCTCACGACCGATCTCACGATCCATGCCGCCCAATCGATCTCAGAATTGATCTCACTGTCGGACACACCACCAGTCTATCGCTCACGATCGATCTCACTCAATGGCTACCACTGCCGATCTCACTATTGATCCCACGGTCGATATCGCTCTCGAACCCAATATCGATCTCACAATCGAACTCACTCAGTTTACCTCACTGCCAATCTCACTAACGATCCCACTGTCGATCTCTCAATCGAGATCATTAGCGACCTCACTAAAGTTATCTCACTAACGATATCACCAGCAGTATCACGATCGTCATCACTATCGCTAGCCAAACACAGCATTGCGTCCCACATTGAACGGGACACCCCCGCGCCACGGGACATAACCGCGCCACAGGACACCACGGGAGGGAGAGAGTGAGGGATAGAGAGAGGGATATAGATATAAATAGAGAGAGAGAGACAACAAACACATATCATCAAGCGAGAGAGAGAGAGAGAAGAACCAAGAGGATCAGAAAATAACTAGACTGGACTACAACGTATATTAGAACTCGACCAGGGTGGGAGGAAGGCCGATAGATGCAGCTGCTACCAATCCAGAAACCCATTGATAGGGTTTTCTCTGGTGAAAATGAGCTGCGTTCGGCCAGACATAGCCCACCTTAGCATCCGCTTCCAAGGCCCCCATGCATTCTCTGAACAATCGCCGCAGTCATCTCAGCACGACGCCCAGACGTCATCGTCCCAGACCCCCTCGGCCCCTAGGAGCCCCTGGGAGCCCCTCGCAGACCCAGATCTCCGACGATGTGCTAATTTTCGATCTGAGCGTTTCTCCTCGATTTCAGCCTTGCAGGGGCCCGTTGTCTGATCCTGGGGCCATCAAAATCGGATCCAGGATGAAAAACTACCCCTGGGAAAGGATCGGGAGCTCGGGACCTCCTCTGGTCGTGGAAAAACGCACCGGGGGGGGTTGCAAACTGTAGGCCTCCGAGGGGCCCTGGCCAGGCCCCGGGAAGGTGCAAAAATTAGTCGGGATGAAAAACCAGTCCCGAGGAAAGGTTCGAGTCTTTCGGGGACCGCCATATAGGAACAACAAAAAAAACATCGCATGTCTGGGAGGTTATGCCTCAGCATCCGAGCCGTTCTTTGGAGGCCTCCCCAGCGTGGTCCGAGCAGATGGATGGGCGATGCGGCCAGATCCTCCTCCGGAGGGGGAGGAGGAGGAGGAGGAGGAGGAGGAGGAGGGGGAGGAGGAGGAGGAGGAGGAGGGGAGGAGGAGGAGGAGGAGGAGGAGGAGGAGTGAGAGGATGAGGAGGAGGAGGAGGAGGAGGAGGAGAGGAGAGAGGAGAGGAGTAGGAGCGAGGAGGAGGAGGAGGAGGAGGAGGTGGGAGGAGGAGAGGAGAGGAGGAGGAGGAGGAGGAGGAGGGGAGGAGGAGGAGGAGGAGGAAGGGGAGGGGGAGGAGGAGGGGGAGGAGGAGGTGGGGAGGAGGGGGAGGAGGAAGAGGAGGGGAGGAGGAGGAGGAGGAGGAGGGAGGGGAGGAGGGAGGAGGAGGAGGAGGAGGAGGAGAGGGAGGAGAGGAAGAGGAGGAGGAAGAGGAGGAGCGGAGGAGGAAGAGGAGGAGGAGGAGGGGTTGGAGAGGAGGGGAGAGGAGGATAGAGGAGGAGGAGAGGAGGAGGAGGAGGAGAGGAGGAGGAGGAAGGGGAGGGAGAGGGGGGAGGAGGAGAGGGGGAGGAGGAGTAGGGGAGGTATTCGGGAGGAGGAAGAGTGGAGGGGGAGGAGGAGGAGGAGGAGAGGGAAGGAGGAGTGGGAGGAAGGAGGGGCCGAGGAGGAGGAGTGGAAGGAGGAGGAGGAGGTGGAGGGGGACGGAGGAGGCGAGGAGGAGGAGGAGGAGGAGGAGGAGGAGGGAGGGCGGAGGGCTTGGATGTCGCCGCCGTCAGCCTTGCATCCAAAAAGGCTATACGTCTCTTGCAGGGCCGAGGCTTACTCCTGCTGGCCTGCCGGCGTGGCCACCTCCGTTCTCCGCCCCCGCCCAGCTCCGGAGAGCCTTCCGCCGCTTCCCGCCGGGGAACCAGAAGGGAACCGCTCGATCCATCGAAGGCGAAGCCCTGTCTGGAGCGCCCCATTTGTGTGCACATGCATGTGAAAACGCACAAACAGATGGGCAGATCTGATTATATTCAGGTGTGCAATTCGAGAGAGAGAGAGAGAGAGAGAGCGAGAAAGAGAGAATGAAAGAGAGAGAGAGAGAGATAGCAAAAAGAGAAAGGGATTAAGAGCAACAAACATCAGACCATGAACCCTTGGGACCTGGCAGCCGCGGTATGCAGTCGCCATTCGTACAAGTACGCAAGGCCGGATACTCAGGGAGCACCATGACCCCTGGGGCATCGCGGCCGCGGTATGCAGGGTTTGCGAGATGGGTCGGGAGCTCCTTTCTGTAAACCTAGGCACTCCAACCTGTCCGGTAGGGGAAAGCAACACACAGCGCACGCACCTGCTAGAGTTAAGAAAATGTTCAGCTAATCCGAGCGTCTGATCAAACAGTAGCCCACGTCCAGAGTACGAACATGCTTACGAACAAAAAGACACTCGAAGAAACCACCCGGGGTCCAGTCCATAGGTTTTGATTTTCTAATGCGAAATCGGAAGTCTATGAACCTTGATACGTGGTTTCTACAGATTTTTGGTGGGTGTGCCTTCAGGATGTTGCAGGTGCTGATATACTCGCTGTCGAGAACGTAGACGCTGCCCGAGCTCGACACGGTGAGCGCGAGGGGGCCGCAGGGCTGAAAGTCGACGACGGTGTCCACCTGCCGCGTCTTCAGGTTGACGCAGCGGATCGCGTTGTTCCTGAGGGGAAGCGATACAAACATCACTCTACCTTGAGGTACGCTAAATACGGAACGAAGGGGATACCAGGCAACGCGAGCCTCAGCCACGAATAGCTCCCGACCTAGGACTAAGGCGCGACCCTGGAACCAGAGCCCCTCCTGAGCCCAACGTCCAAAAGCTGTCCTTGTTCCGGCGTCTTGACCGTATGCGGGGCCAGCTCTGGGGGAACACATCGAGCTAGCATCGGCGGTACATCGCCCGTAGATCGGCGGCAGGCCCCCGATAGCGAATCCGCGCGTTCCTGGGCAGGGTGGGCAATCAGGCCCCTGTCGGCGATGGGTGGGCGCTTGGGGGCCGATGCCCTCCACCCTTGAGCCTGCCCCCCCCTATCGTTGCCCCCCCGATCTCCAGTGGTCCGCCACGAAGAGGCAGTTTCTGATGCAGGTGATCCCCTTCAGGGACGAGAACCGCGCGTCCGCCCCCTTCTCTGCGTCCTTGTACCCGTACTCCGACGGAGAGCCAGCGAGGATGACGATGTCGCCCTTGCCGACCGGCCAACCAGGGGAGCTGTGATCCTTACCCCCAGGTGGGAACCCAACGTGTCGACGACCTATCAAAACGGGTCCCTAAATCGATGGGCCGCCCTCGGGGGGTACGGAACCTCAACTCCCGCAGTTGGAGCTGGTCTGCCTTGTCCGGCTTGATCAAGTAGATGCAGTGGTCGCCGGTGACCGCGAGGCTGTAGTTCCGCTGGTCGCCCTCCTCCGTGCACTCCCTCAGCGAATCGATGGCGGTCTCGCCCGGCGTCATCGTCATCGTCATCGACGTCCTCGGAGGAGCCGAAAACGGCATAAAAACCTGATTTCTCGGAGGTCCGCGCTCCTTTGGCGCGCTCCGCGCGCCAGGGGCGGCGCCGGAGGCGCTGCCAGGGGGGCCCCAGCGCCGATCCACGAAATCCGCTCGGACCGCCGAGAAAGCATGTTCATACAGCGTTTGGTGGTTCGAGTCCTCCGCGAGCTCCTGGAAGTGCAGAGGGACGACATGTGCGAGGAGGCTCGCCTGGACTGGCGCGAGGATATGTAGCCAGACGTCCTCCTGGAGTTGCCCGCCGAGGCCGGGTCCAGTGACATCCTGGGGCTATTGGCGGAAGCGGTGGCCCCATTGAGCGTGGTGGTCCCAACTCTAAGCAGCATACATATATTGAAGGTCCTCCTGCTCCTTATCCTCCTCATCCGCTTCCTCCTCCTCCTCCTTTTTTCTTCTCTTTTTCCATCCCTTCTCACCCAAGAAGGCACGAGGCCCAAGTGGCGCTCGCCCCAGTGGAGCTGCATGCCCCACTGTGCCCCGTCAGCCAAGGGTGGGGCCTCGGCTCTTTGCCGGTTCCCCCGCACACGCCGCGCTCCTCTTGCGGGCGGCCATCACCTGAGGACACAGAGAACCCCCCCCCCCACCACCGCCTCCTCCATCGGCTACACGCAAGAGTGACCCTGGGTAATAGTGACCTTTGGTGCGCGGCTTTTTGGGGGCCGCGTGGGGACCAAACCTGGGCGCGCAAGCCGTTGCTCCTGCTTCGCTTTCAGCCATCTGGGGACCCATCTGTGCCCGCACCAAAGGTCACTCCGGCGAAAGGTCACTCTTACGTCTAGTCGATACCAGTCCACCTGGAACCAATCCTGGTATCCGATGTTGTGGGGAGAGTGGCACTGCAGAAGAGCACAGTTCTCGACCTGCTTCAAAAATGGTCTGTCCGCGAGGGCCCTGGCCCCAAGCCAGTTGGAGAGCGCCCGTCTTCTGGCCGTTTGTCCGCAAGCAGGGTCCGAGGGAACCGTTTGGGACGAATCCGTCGACCCCAGGAAGCGTTCGGCAGGGCGAAGTTGTTGAAAAACACTCCCGGACCTGAAGACCTCCGACATCTTCCGGCCTTTTGTCCGCAAGCAGGGTCCGAGGGAACCGTTCGGGACGAATCCGTCGACCCCAGGAAGCGTTCGGCAGGGCGAAGTTGTGGAAAAACACTCCCGGACCTGAAGACCTCCGACAACCCTCGATGCGGGCAAGATTCATGTCCATATCCAGTGCCTCCTGGACTTTTTTGGAAGCGGCGCCACGAGGCCGAGGCGCACTGGATATGGATAAACGTCGTGCCCTTAGGGGGCAAATTTATCCACAGCCAGTGCGCCTCGGGCTTCTTGGGAAGGGAGCCCGAAACTCCATACTGCAGTGGGTATAGACATAAGTATTGCCCGCGCTCGAGACACTTCGAAGACCTCCGAAATCTCAGGGCCAACGGTGTTCCTCTGCCTCGGCGCCCAGACTCGGGGGCCCGAGGCTCCTCCATACCCTGCGGGAGGGCAGCGAAGAGAAGGACGAGGGCGAGGCGAAGGAGACCGCCGACGAGGAGGACTACGGGCAGGGGAGGGCGAGGACACCGAGGAGGTGGAGGAGGACAAACGGGCAAAGGAGACGAGGAGGCCAGACGGGCAAGGAAGACGAGGAGGACGAGAACGAGGGCTGCCAGCGAGGGCTCGCCCTGGCGAGTAGCCCCCACGAGGACGAATCAGCTGCCCAGGTCAGGGGTAGCACGCGGGGATGGCTGCCAACGCATGCAAACGCATGCCAATGCATGCCAATGCATGCCAATGCATACCAACGCATGCAAAAGCATGCCAATGCATGCCAACGCATGCCAATGCATGCCAATGCATGCCCATGCATGCCAACGCACGCCAGCGCATGCCGACGCATGCCAAAGCGTGCCGATGCATGCCAACGCATGCCCACGCAAGCCAATGCATGCCAACGCATTCCAACGCATGCCAACGCATGCCAACGCATGCCCATGAATGCCAACGCATGCCAACGCATGCCAATGCATGCCAACGCATGCCAATGCGTGCCAACGCACGCCAACGCATGCAATTGCATGCCAATGCATGCCAACGCACGCCCATGCATGCCCATGCGTGCCAACGCATGCCAACGAATGCCAATGCATGCCAACGCACGCCACTGCATGCCAACGCACGCCAACGCATGCCAATGCATGCCAAAGCGTGCCAATGTATGCAAAAGCATGCCAACGCATGCCATTGCATGCCATTGCATGCCAATGCACGCCAACGCATGCCAATGCATGCCCATGCATGCCAACGCATGACACCGCATGCCAATGCATGCCAACGCATGCCAATGCATGCCAACGCATGCCACCGCATGCCAACGCATGCCAACGCATGCCAATGCATGCCAACGCACGCCCATGCATGCCAACGCATGCCAGCGCATGCCAACGCATGCCCATGCATGCCAACGCATGCCGACGCATGCCAACGCACGCCCATGTATGCCAAAGCATGCTAATGCATGCCAACGCATGCCAATGCATGCCAGCGCATCGCACTGCATGCCAACGCATACCAACGCATGCCAACGCATGCCTCTGCATGCCAATGCATGCCAATGTATGCCAACACATGCCAACGCATGCCAACGCATGCCAATGAATGCAAATGCATGCCAACGCATGCCAAGGTGAGGGTAGCGTGTGCGGAGAAAAGACTTGACTACCCGGGTTAGTGGTACCACACGGGGAGGGCTGCCATGTTAGGGATAGCATTTGGAGCGGGAAGATGAGGGGTCAACACATGAAGGGTCAATGCCCCAGCATGACGCGGTCAACGCATGAGGGGCCAGCCGAGGCCCCAGCATTAGAGGTCAGGGCATGAAGATCGAAGCCCAGGCATGAGGGGTCAACGCATGAAGGACCAATGCCCCAGCATGATGGGGTCAACGCATAAGGGGCCAGCTAAGGCCCCAGCATGAGGGGTCAGGGCATGAGGGGCCGAAGCCCAAGCAGGAGGGGTCAACGCATGAAGGGCCGATGCCCCAGCATGACGCGGTCAACGCATGGGGGGCAAGCCAAGGCCCCAGCATGAGTGGGTAAGGGCATGAGGGGTCGAAGCCCTGGCATGAGGTGTCAACGCATGAAGGGCCAATGCCCCAGCATGGGGGGTCAACGCATGAGGGGCCAGCTAAGGCCCCAGCATGAGGGGTCAGGGCATGAGGGGCCGAAGCCCCGGCATGAGGGGTCAACGCACGAAGGGCCAATGCCCCAGCATGAGGGGTCAAAGCATGAGGGGCCAGTCAAGGGCCCAGCATGAGGGGGTCAACGCATGAGGGGCCGAAGCCTGGGCATGAGGGGTCAACGCATGAAGGGCCAATGCCCCAGCATGAGGGGTCAAAGCATGGGGGGTCGGAGCCCCAGCATGAGGGGTCAACGAATGAAGCAGCCCCAGCATGAGGGGATCAACGCGTGAGGGGCCAGCCAAGGCCCCAGCATGAGGGGTCAGGGCATGATGGGCCAAAGCCCTGGCATGAGTGGTCAACGCATGAAGGGCCAATGCCCCAGCATGAGGGGGTCAACGCATGAGGGGCCAGCTAAGGCCCCAGCATGAGTGGGTCAAGGCATGAGGGGCCGAAGTCCCAACGCATGAAGGGGCACTGCCCCAGCATGTTGGGGTCAATTCATGAGGGGCCAGCCAAGGCCCCAGCATGAGTGGGCCAGGGCATGATGGGCCAAAGCCCTGGCATGAGTGGTCAACGCATGAAGGGCCAATGCCCCAGCATGATGGGGTCAACGCATGAGGGGACAGCTGAGGCCCCAGCATGGGGGGTCAGGGCATGAGGGGCCGAAGCCACGGTACGAAGGATCAACGCCTGAAAGGGCAATGACCCAACATGAGGGGGTCAACGCATGAGGGGCCAGCCAAGGCCCCAGCATGAGGGGCAGGGCATGAGGGGCCGAAGCCCCGGCATGAGGGGGCATGATGGGTCAACGCATGAAGGGGCAATGACCCAGCATGTTGGAGTCAATCCATGAGGAGCCAGCCAAGGCCCCAGCATGAGGTGTCGACGCGTGAGGGACAAAGGCCCCAGCATGGTGGGTCGACGCATGAAGGGCCAATGCCCAAGCATGAGGGGGTCCACGCATGAGGGGCCAGCCAAGTCTCCAGCATGAGGGGTCATGAGGGGCCGAAGCCAGGGCATGAGGGGTCAACGCATGAGGGGCCAGCCAAGGGCCCAGCATGAGCGGGTCAGCGCATGAGAGGCCGAAGCCCGGGCATGATGGGTCAACGCATGAAGGGCTAATGACCCAGCATGAGGGGGTCAACGCATGAGGGGCCAGCCAAGGCCCCAGCATGGGGGGTCAGGGCATGATGGGCCAAAGCCCTGGCATGAGTGGTCAACGCATGAAGGGCCAATGCCCCAGCATGAGGGGGTCAACGCATGAGGGGCCAGCTAAGGCCCCAGCATGAGTGGGTCAAGGCATGAGGGGCCGAAGTCCCAACGCATGAAGGGGCACTGCCCCAGCATGTTGGGGTCAATTCATGAGGGGCCAGCCAAGGCCCCAGCATGATGGATCGACGCGTGAGGGACCAATTGGTCCCTCACGCGTGAGGGGCCAGCCAGGCCCCAGCATGCACGGTGTGTCGACGCATGAAGGGCAAGCCCCAGCATGAGGGGTAAGAGCATGAGGGAGTGAAGCCCCGGCATGAGGGGTCAACGCATGAACACAATGCCTGGCATTGGCAAGACTACCCTCTTCAATAATGCAAGACTGGGGAAGGCCCACCCCCATACAGCCGTATCAGGGCGCTGTCCTGTGGAGGAAATACACCTCGTGCGAATGCCAAAGAATAACCTTGGCTGCACGACACCAGAATTGGCCCATAAGTGGTCTGTCCTGGGCAGCGCTCTGACCGGACCATATCGAGGAATATCAAGCTGTGGTGACGAGAGCCCCCCCATCCCTCTTCCCCTCCCTGACGTCCTCCCATTGTGGGAAGTTCGCGACGAAAGGTTTTACTAATTGACGGACTCTGGGAACCTTCACAAGGCTCAGGCACCGTCAAAAAGCGGACCAGGATGAAAAACCGGTCGCAGTGAATGGGTCCAGACCTTAGGGGACGTCGCATGTTGAAGGAGTCAGAGGAGTCGGAGGAGCCGGAGGAGGAGGAGGGGGAGGAGGAGGAGGAGGAGGAGGAGGAGGAGGGAAGGAGGGCACGGAAGATGGAGGGAGGAGGAAGAGGAGCGAGGGGGAGTGGAGGAGGAGGAGGAGGAGGAGGAGGAGGAGGAGGGAGGAGGAGGAGGAGGAGAGGAGGAGGGGGAGGAGGAGGGGAGGAGGAGGAGGAGGGAGGGGGGAGGAGGTGGAGGCGGAGGAGGAGGAGGAGAGGAGGAGGGGAGGAGGAGGAGGAGGCGGGGCGAGGAGGGAGGGGGAGGAGGAGGAGGAGGAGGAGGAGGAGGAGGAGACGACGGAGAGAACGAGCGAACGAACACCGGAGTCGTGCGCGCTCCGCCAGGAAGCCCGCGCGTGCCCAGCAGGAAGGGCGTGGAGGCCGCAGCCTCGAACACACGGGCGGGTCGCTGCGAGGAGACGCACCTGCCAGGAAAAACGGCGCACCTGCCTCTTCCTTCTCCTGGAGGAGCAGGGCCCATAATGACATCTTCCGTCGCGATGTGTTTCCACGTGGCTCCCCAGGGAGTCTGGCCCCTGCCTGGGGATTGGCTTTCAATCCCGAGGCGTTTCTCGTGGCCCCGGGGCCCGGCGAAGGTCCACAGAGGCCGGAAACGTGCAAAAGCCTTCCGCCGCGATGTGTCAAGGCCTGAGACCCGACGTCCCGATACACCTGCAACATCGCAAAACGACTCGACGCGAGCCTCTGGCCCCATCTCTCTGCAACATTCTTCGAGCCGTATCGATCCGTGCGGGCCCTGTGGCCCGAACGAGGACCGACTCGCCAATTGTGAAAAGATTGCGAAGCCAGGACTTCAGGGTCCCTCTTTCGTCCCCTCCTTGAGGGCCAAAAGCGACTTCACGAAGAAGATTTCTGACACCCCCTCCTGTTTGTCCGACACGAAACGAGGAGGAAGAGGAGGAGAAGGAGGAGGAGGAGGAGGAAGAGAAGGAGGAGGAGGAGGAGGAGGAGGCGGAGGAGGAGGAGGAGAAGGAGGCGGAAGGTGGAGGAGGAGGAGAAGGAGGAGGACGGAGGGAATCGGCGCAGGCTGCGAGAAGGGAGGAGGAGGAGGAGGAGGAGGAGGATGAGAGGATGAGAGGAAGGGGAGAGGGAGGAGGAAGGGTAAAGGGAAGAGGAAGGGGAGAGGGAGGACGGAGAGGTAGAGGAGGAGGAGGAGGAGGAGGAGGAGGAGGGAATGGAGGAGGAGAAGGAGGAGGAGGAGGAGGAGGAGGAGCAGGAGGAGCGCAGCGTAGGAGAGGAGGAGGATGCGGAGGAACATGCGCAGAGCGGGGGGAGCGACCGTCCACTCCGACCGAGGCGGGCGCCACCTCGCCGAACGCAGTCGGCGCCTTACTCAGTTTAGGGCCATCCTCCGCAGACAGCTAGGCAGCTGGGTGTTCATGGAGCGGCCGCGCGCGGGGTGGGTCTTCAGCCCGTGCGAGCTCGGTGAGGCACCATGGCTTCGTGTCCTCGAGAGCGCGCTGCAAGCCCGTCCACGGAGAGGGGGTCCACACGGCGCGGTCGATGAACGAGTGGCCGTCCATGGCGTGCTCCGGATTGGACGTCTTCTTGCACGTGTACCAGAGCTGGTCGACCCAGCACGTCACGAGTCCAGCCTCGGCACACTCCTGCACCATCTTGGTGGCCTGCTGCTCGGCCTTCACAGCCTGCTGATCCTTGATCGTCGCTGGAGACTGCGCATCCGTCAAGCGGTCGCTGCCGGCCTGGAGCAGCGGGCACGCCTACTCGGCCAGCTCGGCGGGGACGTTGTCGGCGATGCACTATGATTTGGTGCCGAATTCGTTGTAGTGGATGGCTCCGTCGCGCAGGAATCTCACTCAATCGCGGTCAGGCGCGCGGAAGATGCCCAAGCCCCTGTCCGCGAGGATCGCCACCCCGCTGCTGTACAGCACCTTGCGGACGTAAGTCCGCCACGGTAGCCACCTTGACCTCGAGCGCTGCCCTCGCGAGGTTGCCGAAGATATCGCCGAGGGCAATGACCGTCTCCTGCGAGCCTGGGTGTGCCGACAAACGCGCCGTGCCCACACGAGCCTTCTCCAGGAACGCGCCTAAGTAGGCCGTCCGGTTATCCGTCTGACGGGTCAGAGCTGGAGACGTCCGTGGATGTGCCAGCGACGTTGCAAAAGAGCTCAGGGGCGGTGACGCCGTCCTCGCGCGCCCCCGACGGGAGGACCACCGCCTGAAGCAGCCTCCCGTGGTGGCAATGAGCGGCCGCCTGTGTCCGCAGCTCCGTGAAGATCGCCTGCGCCCTCGCCGGCTCTTCGTCGGGCGGGGCGTTCCTGTCCTGCTCCTGTGGGGGTGGGCGGCCCGACCGGGTACGCCGCGGTCCTCCTCCTCCTCCTCCTCCTCCTCCTCCTCCTCCTCCTCCTCCTCCTCCCCCTCCTCCTCCTCCGCCGCTGGGGCGAGGGCTCGCTGCCGCACTCCTGAATGCCATCCAAGGACTGGGCCATCGCCTTAAGCTTGGTGGTCATGGTGTCGGTCAACTTCTCGGAGTGCCGCACGAGGCATGGCGATGGTGGCGTTTGGGGCATCCACCAGCTGCTGCGCAGGGTCTCGATACCTCGCCTCGATGTTGTTGAGGCTCGTGCTGACCAGCTCCTGCGCCTCCATAGCGTGCTGCCTGAGCGACGGCATGCCAGCGTAAGGCTCGAGATGTTCGAGCTTCAATACCGTCGACCTTCTGGGAGAGGTCCATCTGGGCAGCCATGCCATCCCTGTCGCCTGCCATGCGGGCCGCGTCGAAGAGCCGCATATCCGCAACCAATGTGTTCTTCAGGTCGCCCAGGAACACCAGAAGCTGAGCACGTCTATGATGTAATCCGTGCCGCGCTCCAGGACGGTCAGGAGGTTCGGGAAGAGCTGCAGACATATTGGATGCAGGAGCCGGTGTGGAGACGCGTCGCCGCGGACACCAGGAGGGCGTCGAGGAATCCTGCGTGCCGCACCGAGTTGCCGAAGAACACAGCCTTGCGAGCGAGCCAAGACGACAACGAACAGCGACAAGCAATCCATCGCAGCGCCCTTGAGCAAAACGCGAATCCGCGGCCGCGTGCATGTGGGAAAAAGACTTGAGATATCATGAACAACATGCTGCACAGAAGCTAGCATGCGAGACACGGTGAGCAGCATACCGTCCAGCCGACCCTCTGTCCAAAAGCCACCAGGGCCGCCCAGACGAAGCCGAACAGGAAGAAAAGCACGCCGAATCCTGGGCAGCGCGCCACAATGGCAGCCCGGGCTCTGGACATCATGGCGGGGAAGATGTAATGGCTTGTCAAGGTGTAGTCAGTCGGTCTTACTCAAGCGCGGCTTGAGCCAAATTGGCCACGGAGAAAGAGGAGAAGTTGAGGACGAGGAGGGGGAGGAGGAGTTGAGGAGGAGGAGGAGGAGGAGGAGGAGGAGGAGGGAGAGGAGGGAGAGGAGGAAGGGGAGCGGGAGGAGGACTGTCAAGGCCGTCTCTCAGGATTCGGGTAAAATATTTCCATGCTCGTGCCCCACGGATCTGTACGATCCAGATGGGTTTGGGCCACTGCCCCCCTTCAACTGGTAGACTGCGTGATGGGGCTCACGCGCGTGCCTACCAAGCCCATCAAAGCTGCTACTGTCGAGAGGGGGGCTCAGCTGGGTGGCAAGAACACATGGGTCAGGCCCCCGTGCCCCACCCTTCCACTGCTACACGACGTGATGGGTGTCGCGCGCTCCTCCCTGCCCATCAACTGTTTATATATATATATATATAGGAGAGGAGGAGGAGGAGGAGGAGGAGGAGGAGGAGGAGGAGGTAGGAGGGGAGGTAGGAGGAGGAGGAGGAGGAGAATGAGGGGGAGGAGGAGGAGGGAGAGGAGGCGGAGGGGGAGGAGGAGGGGGAGAAGGGGGGGGGAGAGGGCGGAGGAGGAGGGAGAGGAGGGGGGGGGGGAGAGGGAGGAGGAGGGGGAGAAGAGCAGGGGGAAGAGGAGGACGACGACGAAGAGGGCCACCTTCGACTGGCTCAGGGGCAGCAGCAGCCGACCAGCCAGGCCCAGCGGCTTGCCGCCTGACGGGCCGGCGGGCAGAGGGCGCCGTCGTCGCCCGTCGTCCTCGTCGCCGCCGCCCGGCCTGGGGGGCCTGGCCTTCGAGGATCAAGGGTCGAGGATCGATCGAGGGTCAAGGATCGAGGTTCGATGTCGAGGATTGAATTTCGAGGGCCGAGGTCGTCGCCCTCGTCTTCGTCGCCGCCGCTCTGGCCGTCGGGGGCCCTAGCATTGAGATTCGAAGGTCGGGGACCGACGTTCCCAGACGATTCCCTTCCCACTTGAGCCTTCTGGGACGCCCTCGTCGCGACGGCTGGGTTTCGTTTGTGGTTCTGGCCAGAGGGCACCTCGGCGCCTGGGTCCAGTGTACAGGGCTTGATCCTGGCATCGCAGTCAACTCGCATTTTTTTATCAACGGGCGACTTCGCCATGCGTCGGGCACGGGGGCCCAGACGGATCGATCTGGCTGGAAGCATGCTGCAGAACAATTGGGTCCAGGGCTCCAGCGAGGTTTCCTTACGATGCTGCAGTGTCTCGCGACGTCGGATCCCAGGATAAGGAAAGCTGTCAAGTTTCGGTCTCTGGGGGCCCTCGCCCGGCCTGTCAACAGGTGCTCGGGATGAGACGCTCGTCCCGGGGAAGGGGTCCATACCCCTGGGAGGGCAAGTTGCGAATCAAAAAACACTACGTCGGATGTCGGGGGGGGCGCGAGGGGGAAGGGGGGGAGGAGGGACAATTCTCATGATGAGCCTCCTCTTCCCGCCCACCTCTACGATAACCCAATATGAATACTACTCTCCTCTCCCCCGAACACGTGCTGACAATGGCGCCCCCCCCCTCCGCCGACTGTTCTTTTGCACACTGGATGGGCCCGAGTTGATCTTTCTTCTGCCCTCCCCATCCGAACGTCCTGTCGAGGTCCTCCCAGCACGGTGCTGCCGCTGCAGCGTCGGCCTGATTTCAACATCGGGACGCACGTGCCCCCGTCGCTCGAAGTGGCACCCTCGTCCCAGCGTGGGCCACTTCACTTGAGGGATGAAAAAACGACCCTACCCGGGGTTACAAGTGCGTGGTCTGTAAACCTCCTGGGAACCCCCAAAGCCTAGAGCCGCCAAAACGCGGCACATCACGCAGGGCTTACCCTGTCAGCCCACAGGAGTTTCAGCGCACAGCGCCTCGTAAACCAGGGTAGGGGCGTTTTTTTCCTGCCCTTGATTCACTGGATACAGATCATTCGTCCTCGTGGTCGCCCACCTGGCCTGGCCCGCGGCGGCGCGCCTCCTGGCCTGGCCCCCTCCTCCCCCGCTGGCGCGCGTGGAAAGGCGGCCCACGGCCTCCCCGAGGCGCGCCCGGGGAGGGCCGCCTCCTGAATCCTTTTCC